GGTATCGCTATGAATTCTGATTCTAGCCATTTATCAGGGATGATTCCTGTATTGTAAATTTTATTGAAGACAGCCGTGATCCAAATTATTCCTTCTTCCTCCAAGAGTTTTAAAAATTCAGCTTTGATATTATCAGGCCCTACAGCTTTCCTGCTTTTCATCCGTTTTATTGCTTCTTCTACCTCGGATTTAAGTATGTCCGGGCCCGTCATCCTCTCTGAAAATGGATGCCTATAATCCGTTCTTTGGTCTTGAAAAGGTGTCTCCAAATATATTCTCTACCTGTCTTTCATCTCTTGGGTGTCAATGATTAATTTTCCATTGGTGTCTATGAGTTTCATTTGTGTTCGCTTTTTAAAAGTACCCGTTATTTCTTTTACCTTTTTGTGTACATTAAAATTGTCATGCTTGGCTTGTAGTCTTTCTATTTCGTTACATTTCTCTACAGCTTATTTTTCTTTAGCTTCTCTTATTTTTTTTCTGATGTAAGCCTGAATTTTTTTATACTCATCTTTATTTCCTTTAATTAACCTTCTGCGTTCCATTAAATGAAGGATTTCTGGAGTCATCCAAGATTTCTTCTTTGTTTCTTTGTTTGGTTTTAGCAGATCCTGTTTAGTTTTCTTAATTATTTCTTCGAATTGATTGATTTTTCGTTGGATGTTATTTTCTTCTTTTAGTTGTTTAACTTGGTTGTTAATATATTCCCCCACTTGCTTTTTAACTTCCGGATGTTGCAGGGCTGTCATGTCGTAGTTAGGTCTAGACTTTTTCTTTATTGTCTTCAGTCTCACATCCATGACTCCCACTAAAGGTATGTGGTCAGATTCAATGTCCGCTCCTGGATATGTTTTGACAGATTTAAAACTGTTTCTGAATCTTCTATTTACCAATATATAATCTATCTGGTTTCTAATTACGTTATGGGGTTTATCTGCTGGTGCCTTCCATGTATACAATCTCCTCGGTGGTAGTTTATAAAATGTGTTTAGAACCACTAGCTTGTTATCTTCTGCGAATATTTCTAGTCTGTCACCTCTTTCGTTTCTTTGTCCTAACCCAAAAGGTCTGATTAGAGACGTTTTCCGTTCGGCCCCAAGTTTTGCATTGAAATCCCCCATTATGATGCTGACCTCATGTTTAGGTATTCGTTCTAATATATAATCTATGCTTTGGTAGAGAGTCTCTACTTCCTCGTCGTCTTTAGCTGCAGTGGGAGCGTTTATTTGTATTATGTTTACATTCACTGGATTGGCTCTTATTTGCAGTAGTATTACTCTGTTGGACACTGGGACAAAATTTAAAATACATCTACTAATTTTTCTCGTTATTATTACACCAACTCCATGCTCTAGTTTTCCATCTAGTGACCCTGAGTAGAATATTCTGTGATCTTTTTTGTCAATGCTTCCTGTTCCGTGCCATCTCATCTCACTTATTCCCATTATGTCAATGGTCATTCTTTCCATTTCTTGAATGGCATTGTCTATTTTTCCACTCCTTGCCATAGTTTTCACATTCCATGTGCAAATTTTTAGTTTAGATTATTAGTTACCTTCGCGTATTTAGGCCCTAGCTAATGAATACGCCCTTCAGTCCTACTGGAATTCAGGTTCAGTTCTAAACTCCTGGTACTTGGCACTTATACGGTACTATTATCTCGCCGAAATACAAATAGCGCGTTCACTTTATCGCTTTGTGGCGCGGAGAATTCCCAGCGGTTCCACACCTACTGACCCGACGATTATTGGACGCTACCGCCTCCGAGGACTCACGGTTGGCGGGCAACCACTGCCCGCCGAGCACCCTCTAGCTCCGGTCGCTCGAATGCTACCGGTGCTTCGCGCTCACAGACTCCCTGGCCCACTTTATTTGTTTTTATTAACCGTATTCTCATTTTCTGAGGACGAGCTTTTGCTGACTCAGTACTCATGTGGTGTTATTTTTTTAACAAAGTTCTCTGTTTTTAAACGTGATTTTTTCTTTTGTTGCAAACTGATATTGAACTCGTGCAACACTAAACTAGGTCGAGTTATCATTCATTGTTTAATTTGAAATGTACATGTTATTTATGTCGAATTATTTGTTCATTATTGAATTTGGGATATATAATAATTATTTAAACAATTTTTACTCTTCTCTAGGCTACTACCCTTTATTATTTTTTTTTCTCTTTATTTTCTTGCTATGTTTACATTACATTCCTGAACACCGCAATTAAGCTTACCACAAAAGTCCTAACCAATAAAATCAATAAGCTAACAACTTTATCAGATGAACAACAGGTGACTCGTTGAGTCCACTCTTCTTTAATATAATAATGGATGAAATAATATAAGCAGTACGTAATGGTCATGGCTACAGAATGGGGAAAAAAGAAATTCAAATATTATGTTATGCAGACGACGCCGCATTAATCGCCGATACAGAAGACAAGCTCCAAAGATTAACACATATCTTCAATACAACAGCTAAGAAATACAATATGATAATATCAGCATAAAAAAACCAAATTTGTGACAACATCTAAATACCCACTACGGTGTAAAATCGAAATTGATGGGAAAATAATAAAGCAGGAAGCAAGGTTTAGATATCTGGGAATAGATATAACTAGTTACGGAGATGTTGAAGAAGAAGAACGACAACAAAGCTTAAAAGCAAGTAAAGCGGCTGGTTCTGTTAATGACACAATTTGGAAAAACAAACACCTAAGACAAGCACAAAAACAATAATCTATAAAGCAGCAATTAGACCTATATTAACAAACACGGCGGAGACAAGACCTGACACATCTAAAACGAGACGATTGCTAGAAACAACATAGATGGAAATACTCCGATGAATATCAGAGAGAAGTCTATTGGATAGGGAGAGAACCGAAAACATAAGAAGAACATGCAATATAGAAGACATAAATGGATGGGTGACGCTATATTCACTTCTTCTTCTTTGGGTGCCGTGTCCGTATTCAGACGTTGGCCGTCATCGTGTTTACAATTTCCTGAAACCTTTTTCTGTCGGCTGCTGCGCGAAATAATTCTTCTACTGTGGAACCACACCATTGTCTAATATTACGCAGCCATGAAAGTTTCTTTCGACCAATCCATCTCTTTCCTTCCACTTTTCCTTATAGTATAAGGCAAAGTAAATGGTATTTAGGTCCTCTAATTATATGACCGAAGTATTCTGTTTTTCTCCTCTTTATGGTGTTTATGAGCAGACGTTCTGAATTGATCATTTGAAGAACATCTTCATTGGAAGTGTGCAAAACCCACGATATCTTTAGGATTCGTCTATAGCACCACAATTCGTATGCTTCTAACTTGTTTAGCATTGTGGTTTTTAACGTCCATGTCTCACAACCATACAATAGGATCGACCACACATAACATTTCAGGACCTTCTTACGAATATTCATTGACAGGTTTCTGTTGCATAAAACTGGTTTCCAGGTCATAAAAGCCTTACGTGATATTTCGATCCTGGATATTATCTCTTCATCAGAGTCACAATTTACATTTAACCAGCTGCCAAGTTATTTGAAATGATTTACCCTTTCTATCTCTTCTCCATTAAGAGAAAGCAGACCTTGATCTATATGGATTTTTCCAACTGCCATCCACTTTGTCTTTGAAATGTTGATTTTTAGGCCTCTCCGATAACTTGCTTCACTGACTAGATTTAGTATTGTTTGGAGATCTTGTAAACTTTCTGCAAGAATGGCTGTATCGTCAGCGTATCTAATATTGTTGATTACTTCTCCACCTAGTCTTACTCCCTCTTGTCTGTCATCCAAAGCCTCCCTAAAGATTTCTACAGAGTACAGATTAAAAAGAGTGGGTGACAAAACACAACCCTGCCGTACTCCACGTTTGATGGGTATTTTTTCAGTGGGACTGTCTCCAATTTGGATAGAGGCTACTTGATTGTAATATAAGTATTTCAGCAGTCTTATATCATAGTGGTCAAGTCCTGCTGCCCGTAGGCAGTCGAAAAGTGTATTGTGTTGGACTCTGTCGAACGCCTTCTCGAAGTCGATGAAAGAAACATAAACATTCTTTCGAAATTCACAACTTTTTTCTAATAGAACGGGCATACAGAATAGTGCCTCTCTAGTTCCTAGACCGTTTCTAAATCCAAATTGCTTATCACCCATCTTACTTTCGCATAGAAGAAATACTCGGTTTTGTAAAAGTCGTAAGAGTATCTTCAGTGTGTGACTCATCAAACTGATTAGTCTAAAATCGCTGCATTTGGTGAGCCCGCTTTTCTTTGGTAATGTTATAAACAGTGACTCTAACCAATCATCTGGTATTTTTCCTTCGTTGTAAATTTTGTTGAAGAAAGTGGTTAAGGAGGCAATGCTTTCCTCATCCAAAAGTTTAAGTAGTTCGGCAGGGATTTGATCTGGCCCAGGTGCTTTATTGTTTTTGGCTTGCTGTATTGCCTTTTCGACTTTCGAATACAGTATATTGGGACCTCTGTCCAACTGGTTGTCTCAGGCAGTATTTGGAGCATTTTCTCTAGAAGCATCGTCAAAAAGGTCAGTGATGTCTCTCCCATTCTTTGCACTGTTGTTCGTGATCACAAATTTTTCTGTCCGCGCTTTTAAGTATGTGAGCAATTTTCTGTTTTCTAATTCCGGCAGTATATTTAAGTTTCTTATGCAGGTTGAAGCTGTCATGCTTTTTTTGGAGGTCTTCTATTTCTTTACATAAATTCTCAAGCCAGGATTCTTTGGCTTGCTTAATTTTTCTTTTTATGCGTTTATTAATTTCACGATATTCGATAATATTTCTATTTTTGTGTTGCCGTCGAACTTTTATCAGATCTAGAATTTCTTGTGTCATCCACTCATTTTTTGCCAACATGATAGGTGTTTTCAAAGACTCTTGTACGTTCCCTAAAATCGAGTTTTGAATGGCATACCAGCATATTCACTACTTAAATTTATATGATGTGTTTGATTTAATATTTTTTGCAATAAAACAAAAAGATTAAAAAAAATTTTATTACTTGATTTACTTTAAGACTTTGTTAATGTTAAATAAAAAATAAAATTTAAATACTCATTAACATCTTTACCGTATAAAAAATATTCTTTGTAAAATTTCATCCATTCGGTACATAAATACTGAGATATAAAAATCGTTCTGTTTGGCATTCTGTAAATCGTTAACATTAACATTTCTAATATCATTCGTTTTTGTCTTTCATTGTTTTATTTTCTTCGGCAATAGCCATTAAAGTTCTAGCTGCAGCTTTTCCGGTCTGCATAACCAAGGAATAGAAAACACCATTTTTATTTTGTAAAAGATTGTATGGATGATCGAATTCTACTACTCTTCCAGCATCCATGACTAGAACTTTGTCTGAATCCATAATTGTGTGTATTCTATGAGCTATGGTTAATACTGTGCAATTGTTGAAATTTTTTCTTATTGTTTTCTGAATTAAACCGTCAGTATATGGATCAACGTTGGCTGTGGCTTCGTCTAAGACCAGTATTCTGTTATTCCTTATTACAGCTCTAGCTAAACAGACTAACTGCCTTTGTCCTACACTAAAGTTAGAGCCTCCTTCTGCCATTTTACTGTCCAGACCAGCTGGTAAGTCATCTACTGCACTCTTGAGTTCTACTTGTTCTAAAGCGTTCCATAATACCTAAAAAATAAATGCGTATAATATTGTAAGTTAAAATAAAACAGTATAAAAACTGGTTTTCGCATTTTCATCGAAGTAAGACGACTGTACACTTGGAAAGCCCCGTTTGATGATGACAATAACCCTAAGAAATTAAATAGACTAGGTATATACTTGTAAATAAATGAGTGTTTTCGAAATGCCGTCAAACTACATTTCATGAGACAGATATTGGATCTGATCATCAATCAATTGTAGCAGATATTAAACTAAGGTTGAAACGAATTCAGCGTCAAAAACCAAAAACCAATGCACTTAACTTTGATGATATAAACATAAAACGTAACATTAAAAAATAATTTAACAATAAAATAAAAAACATCGGAGAACAACTAGAAGATCCAGAAGAACTATGGAGTGAATTTAAAATCCAAGTTAACACACAATGATTATAGAAAAAACATAATCAAGAAAAATAAATGGATGGCAGACGACATCTTGAAATTATTGAAACAAAGTCGAGTAACAACATCTAATGAAACAGAATATAGACAACTGCAGACAAGAATAAAGAGAAAAGAAATCAAATTAACCAAAGAAAATGGGATGAGAGAAAAGTGTGACAAAATGGATTATGTAATATCTAAAACACGTAAATACGACTTATTTAATGTGCACAAAAACTAAAAGAAATGAGTAACATATTTAAAAAACGAGTTCTCCCTGTACTCGTTGATAATAATAGCAAATTTATTGTAAATGAGCACGAAATAAGAAAAGAATGGCAGCTGTATATATCAGAGTTGTTTGAAGATGACAGGAATAATATTGCCAAATTTTACCAAATCTGTACTGTCGGCCCAGAAATTAAGGAAATGCGAGGTAGAAAACGATATAAATAATGCTAAAATTCGAAAAGCTTGTGGTCCAGATTATATACCAACAGAGTTGTTAAAACTAATAGAGGATGATAACATAAAAGAGTAAAAAGACTTTTTAATTCAATATATAACACCGGAGTGATTCCCACCGATAGGCTTAAATCCATCTTTGTCGCAATACCTAAAAAACACAATGCCAGAAAATGCTCAGAATATCGTTTAATTAGCCTAATGAGCCACACTTTAAAAATTTTCCTAAGAATACTTCACAACAGAATGGAGCCACTTTTTGGGCTTAACATCCTATTACAAAAATGCCGTAACAAAAAAAAAGATGTTTTTGCATGTTTCGTGGATTTTGAAAAGGCATTCAATAAAGTACAGCATGTGAAATTAATGCAAATTCTGAAAAATATCAGAATAGATGACAAAGATATTTGTGTCATTAAAAATTTGTACTGGAATCAAAGTGTTATCGTAAAAATTAGAGATAACTACACCGACGAAATCTCCATACAACGATGAGTCAGACAAGATTGCATTTTATCGCCAACATTATTCAATGTTTACTCGGACCAGTTACTTAAAAAGACAGCGAATAAGACAAAACATTACCATAAACGATCATAATTTTCAGGTGGTCAAAGAATTCAAATACCTAGGAGCAACAATTACCAGTGAAAACACAGGAGAACGGGAGGTTGAAATACGAATACTGACGGGGAATAAATCATATTTTGCCATTCAACATCTAATGAGGTCAAAGCTTCTCTCAAGGCGTGCTTAAATCCAAATGTACAAAACCATAATACGACCAGCAGTGACATATGAAAGTGAAACATGGACATTGAGAAAGAAAGAAATCAATAAGCTATTAGTATGGGAACGCAAAATCCTGCGAATTATAAATGGTCCTTGCACGGACAGCGTGACAAATGAATGGAGGAGCAGATACAACAATGAAATAGAGACTCCCTTCGGGAAAGGAAACATCGTAAGATACATAAAAGCCAATAGATTAAGATGGGCAGGCCACGTGGTACGGAGTGATGACGACAGACTGATTAGCAATGTGTTTTGGGAAAGACCAGATGGTAAAAGATCGACAGGAAGGCCTAAAGAAAGGTGGAAAGACGCAGTCAGGGAAGACCTGGAGAAGATGGAAGTAAGGCCATGGGAAATAATAGCACAGGATCGGAATCAATGGAAGGCAATAGTAAACGCGGCAAAAACTCACGAAGAGTTGTAAAAGCCAATGATGATGATGATGAGTTATTTAAAAAGGCACTTGAGAGAAAACCATATGGAATAAAAATCAACGATATGCAGACGATACAATAATTATGTCAGATATTATTGAAGATCTCCAAATTCTGCTTGATCATATTCACCAGGCAGGAGAGAAAATGGGCATAAAAATAAAGTCAACCAAAACCAAACTTTTAGTGTTTAGTCGTAACCAACATCCCGATGCAAAGCTTCAATTAAATGGAGTCCAAGTTGAGAAAGTTTATAAAATGACATATATGGGAACTGCGATTACGGACCAATTAGATCCAGACATAGAAATAAAACATAGAATAGCAATGACTAAAACTACTTTTATGAAAATAAAGTCATTTATTTGCAATAATCATCTCAGTTTAGAATTAAGACAAATAGTGGTTAAGTGTTATGTATGGTCCGTACTTTAGTAGAGTGCAGAAGTGTGAACGCTACGTATTAATCATGAACAAAATTAAAGCATTGGAAATATGGGTTTATAGACGAATGCTGAAGATACCTTGGACAGCAAGAAAAACTAATGAAGAAGTACTAAGGAGAGTCAACAAAGATAGAGAACTGCTAAAGACTATTAAACATCGAAAAATGTCTTATCTGGGACTAAGGAAAAGTCGATATAAAATATTACAACTGATCCTTAAAGGCAAAATAGAGGGCCGTAGAGGTGTAGGAAAGAAACGGGTTTCTTGGTTGAGCAATATTCGTGAATGGAGTCTGATATTAAATGCGGGACAATTATTCCATATTGCAGAAGATTGAGAAGCCTTCGCAGTGGTGATCGCCAGCGTCAAATAATTCTGTTATGGCACGCGAAAAAGAAGAAGACGTATTTATTTAATAGTTTAATTACTCCTAGTTGTTTCGACCCGTTATTTAAACACACAGTTTAAAAATAAAATCTTATTATAGTGCATGACACTAAACACTTACATGTCTTACTGCATCTTTCCAGTTTTGTTCTGTAATATGTTGTAAAGATATTTATTCTAGCCACATAACTTTTAATTTGTACCCAAATGAGTTCAATTGGATTTATTTTTCAGTGGTAGGGTGGAAGTCTAAGGAATATGAGGTGTCGCCTTTCCTCCATTTTGTCAACTATGTATTTTTTGAACTTAGATTTGTGTTACCGGACGATTTTTAAAAGTTCTGCTTTTACCATTCCATCTTCGTAAGGTAGATACTTATTCCGCAGCTAGTTCAGAATATCCTGTTTCTTCCACTCAGTCTTTGGAAGTCTTTCTACTAGTCGTGAATTGTAAGGTGCATTATCTAATACTATAATTGAATTTGGTGGTATGTGTTCAATTATCTGCTCAAAATACTCTTCGAAAACATCAACTGTCGTCTCTTCGTGATAGTCTTTTTCACAACAAATCCTTTTTTACTGCCAATGTGAGAAATTATTAATATACTGCCTTTACCAGAAGGTGGGGAGATACCAGTAGACCAACCTTTCATAAAGGCTTGCCTGGAGCTTAATATATTTTTATCTGAACAAATTCTTTTTAGAGTATTACCTGAGTTTAACCACGTATCTCCTCCTGGTCAATCAAAAGTGATTTTCGGTCTGATTTCTCCCACCGGAAATTTAATTCTTTTAAAACTTGCTACAATTTATCGGATATGAGGCAAATCCGGGTCGTCTCTAACTTCTTGTAAAATTTTGTTTAGGTTTGGTATTTCATTTTTTAAAAAAAATCTATGAATTTTCCTTCGAATATCATTTTTGGCAAATTCATCAATTTCAATAGGCTTTTTCCCTTTCTTTAAGTGTTTGTGTTTGGGTTAGCTATACCGTGTTTTTTCTTTCTGATAGGAACCTATATACTGTTGACTCCCCTACGCCAATTATGTTGGCACAACTTTCGACTATGTTGCGAACAGTGTTTGTGGGATTCTGAGAAAGCGGAAGGGATTTGAGCCTTGAAATGAAACTTCGCCTGATGAGATGTTACGTACTTTCTCTGCTGTTCTACGGAATGGAGTCATATAAGTTGAAAAAGACTGATACCAAAAAATTAGAGGCATTTTAACTGTGGATGTATCGCAGAATCCTGAGAATATCATGGACCGAGAGAGTTACAAATGTCGAGGTCTTGAGAAGAATCAATATAGAAAAGGATCATTAAGGAAAGGATAAAGAACAGGATCAAAAAAAATTAAGAAAAGGATATTTACGATAAAAAAATAAAAACTGCAATACTTGGAACACATTACAAGAGGGGAAAGATATGAACTGCTTCGAATAATTATGCAAGGGAAAATAGCACAAAAAAAGTCCATAGGAAGGTGACAAAACTACTCCTGGCTAAAGAATCTACGGAAATGGTATAGCTGTAGCAACAACGAATTGTTTTGGTCAGCAGTTTCGAAAATACGTATAGCTCTGATGATCGCCAACCTTCGAAACGAAGATGGCACTTGAAGAAGAAGAGAAACCAGAGCATCGTGAACATTCAGGACAATAGTTTTCTCCCTTGGTGAATAGACAGACTTACTGACTGTACGCAACAGTACCGGTGTAAAACTTGATGATGTTGATGATGAAGTCATCACAAACAATCCAACTATTACTATTTTTAACTACATTAAACCGTAACAATTGATAGATTACAACATTTTTTATCATAATGGTTACTTTATCAAGTGTTCAAAATGTGCTCCATTTGTGAGTTGACAGTACCCTAATTGATGATAGAATGCGTCTACCACATTTTTTCATGACTGTCTAGAAATTTTTCGAGATTAATCGATAATTCGTTGCCTTACTAGCAAAAAAATATTTAAGATTAAACGTGGACGCCATTCAATTCTACTCGTCTACCAATCCATCGTCCGGGAAATATCTTATCTAAATAACGCCGAACAATTACTCCAAAATGAGCTGGAGCTCCATCTTGTTGAAACCATATCCGATTAAAATTGGCCCCAAATAAGTTTCTCAGTGTAGGTACAATTTCATTACCAAGTAACATTGCGTAAATATCTGACGTTAAATTTCCTTCGATAAAAAATGGCCCAATTAACTGACTACCTGACTACTGACTACTGACTAACTGACCATACTACATTTAATTTTTGTGGTCTTTGAGTATGGTTTTCACGCATCCAGTGGATTTACCTTACTCTAGTACCTTAAATTGTGTCGATTTACACTTCCACACAGTGTAAAGGTTGCTTTATCGGAAAAACATATTCTGTTAACAAAATTATTACAATAAGTTAATTGTGTATGGTTTAAATTTATTCTTACGTAATACACGCAAGACTGAAGAACGCCTAGATCATGTCCTTGTGCAACCCTGCGTTAGGATGTATGTTCATCTTCAATAAAACTTTGAATAATTTATATCTAAAGTTTTGTTGTCATTCATAACTCTGTTCGGTTTACCTGGTCGGTATCTATTTTTTCCTTCTACAGATTCCTCAAATCGCTTTACAGTTGTTTGTACCGTCGCCTTATGAATAGGAGAACGTTTTGGGCAAGTATATTTTAACAATTTGACTACTTCACAATAAGATATTTTTCTGTCAGCGTACCCTATTATCATTAGAATAGTAATTCGTTCTTTTTCGTTAAGAACCACTTTAGACAAGCAATTTATCTTGCAGAACTTTTTACATTTAAATACTTAAATTTATTAAAATCTACGTAGTTTGCACTGTTTTATGTATTTAAGTCCTTCCAGACTCCATAAAATCATAAGTGTTTCATATGGTTGAACTCGCATTGAATAGGAGATTCCAATAATAATATACAGGGTGATAAAATTGAAGAACCAAAGTTACTAATAATATAAGAGAAACGGCAAATCTGGCAACATTGCAAATATCAAATATGGAATTTCTATATCTCAAAATAGGTGCACCTTAAAAATTGTAAAATTATGACTAGCAATTTACGAGATAATTGGTTGTTCCCAGACTTTTGGGTCACTGTGTATAGTAGTATAGTAAACAAAATATTTTAAATTTACAAATATGTATAGCTGTACCAATTGAATACTTTTCTAAACATATTATTTACTTACTTCATCTTTGTACTCATCGAAGGGATCCAAATTATTTCTCAATGTTCCAGAGAATAGAACGGGCTCTTGAGGAATTATGGAAATTTTAGATCTGAGTTTCTTCAATGCCACAGATTTTGTATCGATTTCATCTATCAGTATGCTACCTTCAATATGAGTCAACCGAAAAAGAGCTTGAATTAACGAAGATTTGCCTGCACCTGTTCTTCCCACTATACCCACCTTCTCCGAAGGTTTAATAACAAAGCTGAGATTCTTAAGAACTGGAGGATCATCGAGCGAATACTGAAGAGTCATATTTTTAAATTCTATTTTGCCTAGCTCTGGCCATGTCTCATCTAGTTCTACGGTATAATTATCTTCTTCGTGTTTTAAGTCAGCGTATTCTTGAACCCTTTCCACTGAAGTCATTTGGTTTTCGAGTTCAGACCATTGTCGCATCCCCCACTGAAACATCCCCGTCAAAGCTAACGTTTGAGTGAGGGCGAGACCCATATTTCCTCCAAATGTTTCTAAAAATAATATTTTATTGCTGTATACAACAATTTTTAATTTAAAAAACTACAAATAATCGAGTCAAATCGCTTACCGAATCAAATCGAATCAAATAACGAATCGAATCAATTAATGAATCAATTATCAAATCGAATCAATTATCGAATTGAATCGATTATCGAGTCGAATCGATTATCGAATTGAATCGATTATCGAGTCGAATCGATTATCGAATCGAATCGATTATCGAATGAAACTGATCATCGAATCGAATCGATTACAGAATCGAATCGAAATAAAATTAAATTAAATAAAACTAAACTAATAAAGCTTTTTAAAAACCAATGTGTTTCAGTGTTTATATTTACTTACCACTTTCAACGAAAATCAGCGACAATATAACCAAGGCAATATATATTACACATATAAAGTCTAGCCAAAAACCAAATGTTCTAGTGGCTCCAAGATACATAAAAAATGCAGCGCTATGGTGATTTTGATACATATCAAATTCATTTTTGAGTATTTCTTCAGCTTTGAATGCTCTTATAGTAGTTAGTCCTTGTAGTGTAGCTGTTAGATGAGTATAGATGGGACTTCGAGCTAAAAACAGAGTATAACTTCAAATATAAATCTACCAACCAAATAGAATGTTTTTTAGAAACACACTATCGAACTCCAGCTTGCTGAGAAGGTTGTATTTATCATGACTTGGAATTGGTTTGCATATCTTAGTACCAGCAAAAAGAGTACAAAAATTAATTTATTACACTGGTAAACACACAGATTGCCGATGGAAATTTTTTTTACTGTTTCTAGGTAATTTGGGTCTGCTAAATCCAAAAATGCTACCAGATTTGCTCCATCAGATCGTTTTCAGGAAATACAACAGATCACATTTCTAACATATAGGGTAATTTAACGCAGCACTAGCTACATATATGTAGTGCTGCTACCAATTAAATAAACAACACACTAATAAAATGTAAGATATTTATTGTACAAGAATGTACTTACAAAAATCATCACACATATCTGCCAAAAAATCTTAACTTTTCATCTAACCTAACTAGTATCGCAGCACAAATCTGCTATTCAGCATCACCTAAAAACTTCCTTTTATATAATTTTCTTGCAAAGGCAATAAAAGAACGGTCCATCTGAAGACTCCAGCAGTAATCCGACATCATGTGAGTGTCCCATCTCCCTTGATACCTCTCTTCCATCGTTTTGATATCTTGGTGGAAGCGTTCCACTTGTTCATCACCAAGGTCACCAATATTTTCTGGGAAACGGTTTATTATTAACCATGTTTGTTAAAATTGTTGAGCATTTCTTCCACTATATCCTGGTAACTTTCCGATTTATTGTTTCCAAGAAAATTTTGCACAACTTTCACAAAAGAGCCCCATGCCTTACATTTAATTTCAGTCATCGATACTGTAAAATGCGAATCTTTTATAAGTTGTATCTGAGGCCCATCAAATATTCCGACTTTCAATTTTTCTTTACTAAGTGCAGGGCATTTTTTGAACAATTATTCAAAACAAGGACGATTCTGGCCTAGAGCCTTTACAAATTGTTTCATAAGCCTTAGTTTAATATGTAGCAAAGGTAATATTATTTTCTCTCGGTCGACCAATGCTTCGTTAACTATAGTAGCTTCTCCTCGAACTAAAGCATCTCTGGGATGCCATTTTCTTCTACTCCAGTGTTGGTCCTTAGCCCTGCTATCCTAAAGACACAGGAAACAAGGATATTTTGTATACCTTGTTGTCCCAGGAGAAAATTTACCATCATAAAATCAACACAGATCGCCCATTGATGTTGGTCATACTTAATGTGTTTTAGCACCAGCGAAATTGTTTTATATTCTTCTTTCATTTTTGTAGAATGCCCAATTGGTGTACTTCCATATTTGTTGCCATTATGTAAAAGGACACACTTTAAACTTCGTTTGGAACTCTCGATAAAAATACGCCAGTGATCTGGTGTATATTCCGATACACCCATTTTGTGTAACAGTCCTTTAATATTATTACAAAAAACCATATCATTTTGCTGAGAAAAAGGCAAAAGATATTTTTCTCTATTACGGTAGTATGTAATTTTGGTGTCGGGGTGAAGAAGATTCTTTTGCTTTAGTCTGGAGGCAAGCAACTCGGAAGAATCCTTTAAAAGGTTCAAATCTCTGGTAAGATCACTTAGCTCTTCCTGAGTAAAGAGATCAGGACGTGTTGACTCCTCTTCAAAATTACTGTCGTCTTCCTCAAATATATTAATCTGTAGTTGGTCAGATAACGTTTCGACATTATCCTCTTGTAAGGTAGGTAAACAGCTAAATATTTGAATGAGTATCTGTTTAAGCTGATGTGGAATTGGTTTACTTGTTGAATCCAGGTTAGGATATGTCCACGTATGTCGATTGTTACGATTAATGCCCTTTATATTCACAAGACAGAAATAGCAATCGTCAAAATGATTTTTTGGTTCCATCCATATCATTGGTACACCAAACTTTAAACATTTTCGTTGTCCTTTCGTCTACTGTTTTCCAGACAAGTTTTGCACACTACATGTGGAGCCCAGGATTTATCTTGATCTCCTTAATGAACACCAAAATAGGCTTGATATGCCCTTTTTATAAAATCACAAACTAGTTTTCTACTTTCCTTTACAATGTACTCGTCACGGGTTATTCATACAATGCCTGCTTGTAGAAACCCTGGTTTTCAGTTGTCCAAAACAAACTATTGCAATGAAACTCAGTTTCGAATGTCAAACTAAATTTTACAATAGAATGCAGCTGACTTTATAGGAATTTATTAAGGCAGTTGCAAAGAAAATACTATTTACTTATCGAACAATAGTTAAAAGCAATTAGCTCTAATTTCAAGTTATGGGCATTTCCAAAAAGTACACTTTAATTAGAAGTCATTAGTATGTCCTAAATGTGTTGCTTGTGTGAGTCCATTTCAAATAGGTAAAAGAAATAATAAATAAAACTTACTCACAATCAATTTAATTTAACTATCCAGACGACCGGTTTCGCTTTCTACAATATGCAAAGCATCTTCAGGTCTCGATACAAAGTTAATTAAACGATGCCGGTACTCTATTAATTGATGGTTGGAAGAACATGGTTCAAACTAAGCAGTATATACATTCAACAATACAGGATAGCTCGAACCATGTTCTTCTAACAATCAATTAATAGAGTCCCGGCATCATTTAATTAACTTTGTATCGAGACCTGAAGATGCTTTGAATATTGTAGAAAGCGAAACCGGTAGTCTGGATAGTTAAATTAAATTGATTGCGAGTAAGTGTTATTTATTATTTATTTTACCTATCGTTAGTATGTATTTGTATTAGAATTTGTTGGTTTATAAACATATTGCAGTTATAGTGGTGGAATATATAGAAATCTAAGAATATTTAAGTATTTAATGAGTATATTATATCTCGAAAACTAGAGCTGATACAAAGAAAACGTTTGTATTTTTGGAATCAGCAAAGATAAATTAACCAAAATCAGTTGATTTTTTTTGTCGCAGCAAGACAAAAATTTTTTTTGTTGGGTTGTGTTATCGATACCTGACAGTATTTCTACCCAACTTGTAGGAACAAATATGGACAGTGAGATAAAAAAAACATAATACAATTCAAACAATTTTAACGGTTAAAGAGACGCAACTACAATCGCCGATTTTGTATCTGAATCAAATAATTGGCCAGAAGGTGTTCCGAGAGACACAAACTCTGCTCAAATGATCAAAAATACGCCTTTGTATAGATCAATAAAGAAGAATGACGAAATAGACGAAAATGTGCAAATCCACATAAAATCAATTAGGAAAGGGGACCTCGAGATAATTACCATCAAAAGTAGCTAAGAAACCAAGAACAAGTAGAGTAGGTCCTATGGTTCCTTTTTTAGGAAAAGTAATCTGGATGACGATGGTACATAGACACCATCTTAATGGACTTACTTTACTTTACTTTATCGTATCTGGACATGTCATTTATAAAATTTTAGCCTAGTATCGGGCTACGTCGCTTCCATCTTTGTTGGCGAGCCACAAATCTTCAAGGGTACTTTTACTGTAGCTAACCTCGTTCTTATCCTATTTAAAATTTTCCACGTTTTAAAGTCTAGGGTCTGGCCGATCCATTGAGAACCTGGGGAAGTGGAAAATACTCAGGCAGTTCATCATGCACTGTTCCAAGGAAGCTTTTTCTAGATTTTAGTCGCTTTCGTGGTTTTCGAGCTTTGTATAGGGCATGCCGCTCGTCCGCGATCTATTTAATTTTCTCTATGTGTTCTGCAACGCCTTTGCATGTTGAGGGTTCTGCAAAACCCACTGCTCTATAAAGATTTGAAAGTGGCGTTGGTTTTATGCACCCTTTTACTATTCTGCATGTCTCATTTAACGCAGTATCAACTTGTTTGGTGTGGGCAGATCTGCTCCGAACGGGGCACGCATATTCAGCAGTTGAGAAACACAGTGCCTGTATCGTTGTTCTTAAAACGCCAGGACGTGCGCCCCATTTACTTCTTGTTAGCTTTCTGAGTATGCTGTTCCTAGTTGTTACTTTCCCTCTCGTTTTTATACAATGTTGTCTGTAGGTGAGGAACCGGTCAAGAGTTACTCCAAGATATATAGGTTGGTTTGTGTGTTCTAATGTATTACCATTCCATACAATTTGGACTTTTCGCTTGGCTTCCTTTGTGCGAATGTGAAAAGCGCAAACTTGGGTTTTAGAGGAATTGGGTCTCAGATAATTCTGCAGGTAGTACGCTGTCATTGTTTTTAAGGCAGTTTCGAGTTTCTCCTCCACTTCTTCAAAACTGTTTCCTTGAGCACATATTGCAAGATCGTCAGCATAGAGGAAGTTCTTGGTTTCGGTCGGAGTAGGTGGGTCGTTTGTGTATATATTGAAGAGCATTGGTGCTAAAACATTTCCCTGTGGGAGGCTGTTTTTTTGAACTCTCCACCTACTTACTTTACCCTCCAGCATAACGAAAACCCTCCAAAAACGTCTATTTTGCATTAAGGAATATACGACCTTTCCCAGATGGTGGTCATTGAGAGTGTCATATAATTTGCGGAGCAATGTTTTGTGCCTTACTGTGTCATAGGCTGCTGCCAGATTTACTAAAGCAGCCCCTGTTATAAGTTTTTCTTTAAAGCCCTCTTCAATGTGTTCTGTTAATGCGAGGACTTGACCGGTGCAAGATTTGCCAAGTCTGAATCCTCCTTGTTGTGGGATGAGGTGCTTGTCAACATTTTTTTCTATTTTGGCGAGTATCAGTCTCTCGTATAGTTTAAAAAAGTGAAACAATAGCGAAATATGTCTGTAGCTACTGGGGTTTTCTGAATCATTTTCTGGTTTTAACAAGGCTATTACTTTAGATTTTCTTCATGATTTTAGAATTTTGCAGGTTTTGCAGCACGTGTTATAAAATTTTAAGATCCAGTTTTTTGCTCCTTGGCCTAAATGCTTTGTTTGTTCACTGCATATATCATCCACACTTACAGCTTTCCTGTTTTTTACCCAATTCAGACCGTCGTGGAGTTCTTTTAGTGTAAAAGGAGTTCCTAGGTGGTTTGTTTTCGAATCCAATCTTCTCCTAGTGTTTGGGTCCTTATATCGGTTAGTAGTTTTTCCATTCGTAAGAAGTTGAGCAGCGACTCGGTTTGCTGTAACCTTGCAAGGTGGTTTATGTTCTTTTGGATCACCGCTGAGTTTTTTTACAAGGTTTCATGCTATTTTTCTACTATGTGTCATGTCCATTTTTTCCAGTGCCTCAATTCACTTTTCCTGTCTGGCTTGACTTAGCTGTTGGAGTAGTACTGCTCCGCAGTCAACCGTTTCTTGGCTAAAAGGGTCAGTGGAATAGAGTGTTTCGTATGTTCTCATTAGTTCTTTGGACTTGCTGGAGATCCCGGGAACATATTGTTGTCTACATCTTCTAAGGATAGTTTTTCTAAACACATTTTTGAGTACCTACAAATTTTTTGTAGTTCTCTACTTTTGATTCAGGGCGTAGTAGTTCAGAATCTAGCATGCCTGCATACTTTTGCCAGTTTGTCTTTTTGAAGTTAAATCTCCTTCTGAATGGAATAGCTAGTCTGACAATTGGGAAGATATTTATACCAATTGGTCTATGCTGAGTTTTTGGTATGATATACTCATTTGGTACATCGGTCTTCGAGGTTGTTGCTTAAAAAACAGATATCCGGGTTATATCCTCTTTTCCAAATTCCGATTTCCAATTTCCAAAATCCTTTTTAATTCGACAAAGAAAAATTGATTTTTCTCATTTTTCTTGGATCATACGATTCTCTTCGAAAATTTTGTGGTTTGTAGCACTACTCATTCTGAATTTCACATTCATTTTATTCGTCACTGTTAATTAAACACGACACGTGCAGCTGACTGAAGCTAACTGCTAGCTCATCGGGAGTGGGTGTTCAATGTTAACTACTTTCGTAAGATGACGAAAATTTAGACAGGGTTAGAACAGGTAAAAGTTATCAATAATAATATTTTTAAAACGTGTTTGCGGGGGCCGCAGTTTAAAGAGCCTCGGGCCGCATGCGGCCCGCGTGATCAAGGTTGGATCATACTGCTTTAAACTAAACTATTACCTACTATATTTTACCTAGTTTTTATACTTACTTACTGATTCCACTCGCTTAACATCTCGACTAGTTTTTAAAAATACGACCTTCATTACATAGAACAGTATCCCTATACAGATAGTGGGTATCATGATCCAGTAGGTTAAACTACCTATTACGAAACAGATCGCACCTACCTCAAGGCCAATCTGAAAACACATAATATGATATACTATAAATCTCAATTCCGCATTATAAATGTATAACATAAAACACAAAAACTGTTTATCCTACCAAGACCTGACCTCATCTTTTTTTAGTTTTTTTTATTAAATAATAGAATTCGTATTACTTTTAGTATAAAAACACATGTAAATTTTTCTATAACCCCTCTGTGGCTCAGTGGTAAGAGCGCCTACCTTTAAACCTAAAGGTCGTGAGTTCGAATCTCATCTGGGTGGACAAATTTTAATTTATTAAAAATTAATGAATGAAAATAATTTCTATCCTTGTGCGATCGGTACTCACCAGAGGGACCGCAGACGTTCGGATACAATTAGCGTCTCTTAGCAAAGAGAATGACGTCGACTTTGCTAAGTATCAAGACAATTACTCTACACACACAAACACACACTACACTAGGTACCTGACTGTACCATGCCAATGATCGTAGTTGTCGAGGCATTAACCCAATAAAAAAAAATTTCTAAATTTTTATTTTTTTGTTAAATGTCCACTCGCCAGGTCATCTGGATTGCATCAATACAAAAATTATTGTAAATGAAATTGTTTAGCAATTGAAATTTCCCGTTAAATATAAAAATATGTCACCTGATTTACAATGAACTTTTGTTTTACCCTTACAACCTAGAAGCTTACATCTAACTGAATTTTTTAACGCTGATAAAATTGCAGGAATGTGTTGTATCTTTTTCTTAGTAGGCGTTTGAAGTGGTGTTCTAGGTAGGCAACTGTTTCTCGTTACCAGTGTTGAAATATTTCCAAAATCAGAATTTTCAGAAATGTTTTCTTTAAGGAGCAGCTTGTAACGAATATATTTTTTCCTACCACATGGGGTATTACTATAAGGGATAAAAAGTTGGGGACTGAAACTATTTTCTTGTGGCATTGTAAATTAATTACTATTTTACTGCGAATAAGCCACAATTAGACGAGATAAGAAAACAAGGAAAGTCTTGTGAATGAGGTGAAGGCCTTAGCGCAAAATAAAACCCGATGGCCCGTTTTCACTGAAGCTCTATGCTCCACTTAGGAGTTCAAGAACCTTATATATATATATATATATATATATATATATATATATATATATATATATATATAAGCCACAATTAAAGATAAAAATACGTTTATTGACGTTTCAATTTCCACTTCGGAAATCGTTCTCAAAATACAAACAGTAAATTAAACAAATTTTGTTTTTTGTTACATAGTGAAAAATTCTTCTAATAATTTAATTTTATCTGACTCATTTATATTGACAATTCAGACATACATTATTCATTTTAAAGTAGACGACTTTAAAATGATATTGTCAAAATTGTTGAGTTGCGCTCCTGGGACGACTTTACTTATAAGATAGTTCATTCTATTACATGAAATCAACTTTAACTTGAGAATATCCGTCAGAAAAAAATCATAGCATGTAATTCGTCTTTAAAAAGACACACATGACATGATGACAGTAAAATTCTCCTGTTAGTGATTCCATAGTAAATTATGAGGGAAAAACCAGGAAAAAAACCTCATAATACTATCCCGACATTGTAAGTATTTGTTCGTGAATTTAGTTTACCTTCAACAAACATCAAAATTCTGATTTTATATGTTACGTTATTTAAAAAACATAAATGATGTATCCTCTATATGTTACTGACTTACTAATACTGGTATTTTCTTATTAATAACTTCCTCTTTCAATATTGGTAACCAGATCCTACTACATTCTGCCGAGGAATTTGCGACACAATTGGCCTCATTTAGCATAATTAGAGCCGCTTCTTTGATTTTTCTTTTTTTACCATCCGTTTCTTTTAGGACTACATTTGAATTATTCCATTGAACCCTATGTTCATTATCCCATGCGTGTTTACATATTTGAGATCTATCAAATTCTCTATTTTTAATATAAGATTGATGTTCACTTATTCTAACATTTAATGGCCTTGATGATTCACCTAAATAAAACTGATCGCATTCACAAGGTATTTTATAAATGCAATTCTTTGTCCTTTCTTGTTCATTGTTAGGTTTGGTTTTGGACAAAATAGATCTCAACGTGTTTGTTGTTTTGAATGTTGTTGAAATATTGAATTTATTTCTTATCCTTTTAAGTTTTTCTGATAATCCTTTTATGTACGGTATTGTTATTTTCCTCATATTATTCCTTGTGTATGCTGTAGGATCTCGTTCTAAGTTGTTCTGTTCTATTCGATCGATTGTTGAAAATTCCTTATTTATAAACGATAAAGGGTAATCATTTTTTAATAAAACAGATGTTAACAAATGTTTCTCCTCCAAGAACGAATTTTCGTTAGAACAAGTAATTTTGGCTCTATCGTATAAGGATTTAATTATTCCCTTTTTTACATTAATATTGTGATTTGATTTGAAATTTAAATATCTATTGGTGTGTGTTGGTTTTCTATACACCTGAGTCTCATATCCAGTATCGTTCTTAGAGATTAAAACATCCAGGAAAGTAGCGTGTTATTATATTCCTTTTCCATGGTAAATGTTATTGTCTCTTCTTTATCGTTTATATCATTTAGGAATATGTCCAACAACTCTAGTCCAGGAGGCCATATTGAGAATACATCATCTACATACCTCCACCATACTGTGGGTTTGAAATTTAGTTTAGAAATGATATTTGTTTCAAAATCTTCCATAAATATATCGGCTAAGAATGGAGATAAACTAGAGCTCATTGTTAGACCAAAATTTTGTTTATAGAATTTATTATTTAGTTGAAAATATGTATTATCAGTACATAATGTTAATAACTCCATTATAGCCGATATGTTTAGTCTTGTTCTAGTTGCCAATGAATCATCACTCTCTAATTTTGTCTTGACTATACTTAAAGTCTTATTTAATGGCACATTCGTAAATAAACTATTTATGTCAAAACTTACCAAAGTATTATTTGAATTAAATTAAATATTTGATAATTTATTTAAAAAATGTTGTGTATTTTTTATGAATGTGTCATTTTTATTTGTAAATGGTTTTAAAATATTTAATAAAAATTTTGATCGTTCACTGCAAGGAGAATTCATGGTACTACAAATGGGTCTAAATGGTATATTCGTTTTATGAATTTTCGGTACTCCATAAAAATGAGGAGTCTTACTGTAATGAGGTGTAATTAATCCTCTCTGATAACTTGTTAAAACATCTTTAAACTTAAATAAAGTTCTATATAATATTTTGTTTTCCAAAGGCTTTGTTGGATCTTTTGTTAATTTTGTATAAGGTCCGCTTATTAATAGATCTTTAATTTTATTTTCGTATTGAATTATATCCATTATCACAGTAGCATTCCCCTTGTCTGCTGGTAGGATGATTATGGAGTCGTCATTTTTTAAAGTTCTTATAGCCTTTCGTTCCTCTTTGCTTATGTTTTGTTCAATTTTAGTAAATTTTTCCAATTCAAGTTTACATAACACTCTGTATTCTTCCTTTTCGTGGGTTGGTAAGCATTGAGATATTTTCTCCACTGATCTTATTATGTCTAATTTTGGAACGGATGGCTGAGTAATAGCAAAGTTTAGACCCTTTGACAGTATTAAATTCTCCGTTGGATTTAAATGTCTATTTGATAGATTGACAACTGACAAATAAGAAAATACCAGTATTAGTAAGTCAGTAACATATAGAGGATACATCATTTATGTTTTTTAAATAACGTAACATATACAATTAGAATTTTGATGTTTGTTGAAGGTAAACTAAATTCACGAACAAATACTTACAATGTCGGGATAGTATTATGAGGTTTTTTTCCTGGTTTTTCCCTCAAATTTTACTATGGAATCACTAACAGGAGAATTTTACTGTCATCATGTCATATGTTTGTCTTTTTAAAGACGAATTACATGCTATGATTTTTTTTTGACGGATATTCTCAAGTTAAATTTGATTTCATGTAATCGAATGAACTATCTTATAAGTAAAGTCGTCCCAGGAGCGCAACTCAACAATATTGGCAATATAATTTTAAAGTCGTCTACTTTACAATGCATAATGTATGTCTGAATTGTCAATATAAATGAGTCAGATAAAATTAAATTATTAGAAGAATTTTTCACTATGTAACAAAAAACAAAATTTGTTTAATTTACTGTTTGCATTTTGAGAACGATTTCCGAAGTGGAAATTGAAACGTCAATAAACGTATTTTTATCTTTAATTGTGGCTTATTCCCAGTTAAATAGTAATTAACTACAAAAAAAATGAAATAAAGAGTCATGAATCTCTTGGAACAAATAAGACAAAGGAAAATACCTCTAGCAATTTAAAAAGGACGCCGCTTCGGGGTGTCAAAATTAGAACGATTACAACAGCTAGTTGTAACTATTGTAACAACAACCGTTAATTGTTTTTCTATAGTTGTCCGCTATGTTTATCATTTGAAATTTACAGATTAACTAAGTGAAAATATGTTCTCAGAAATACGGCACGCTTTTGTCAGTTTCACTAGTATATACACTATGATGGACCGTGGAAGTAGACGCTGTTAATTTAGTTCTTGTCAAAAAATATGTAATACGTAAATGTCCATTTAATTGGACATCAGGTCTTAGGAAGATAAACATATCCGATTATATACTGAAATTTGAAACTAAATCCATTCATTCTAGAAAAATGGAGGATTCCAGAGGACTGAAAGATGCCGCTTAAAATAGCTTAACAATATAGAGAAAATAATTAACTACAACATGGATACATCATATCATTAAGATCAATAGAAAAAGTTTAAATAACACCAAAACTAATTTATAAATTGGTGGCAATGTGTAATCAATATTTTGTCATCATTCAATTTTTCCAATCAAGTGAAATAATTCAAATGACAAATCATGAAAATTGGTTTAGCTGTTATAAATAGTGTAAATACCATAATTTTGCGATTTTGTTTTATACACATAAATAATTAATATTTCTATACTTACTTGAAGAGTATCCATGAAAGTCATTGGTAAAATTTCATCTAAAGCACCGATGTCTTTGGAAAACCTATTAAGAATTCTTCCAGAAGGATTTATATTGAAAAACCGCATTGGACTATAAACTATGTTCTCAAACATTTTGTTGTGCATTTTTGTTGATGCTGTTATGGACCATGCGTAAAACGAAGATGATCTGATATTCATAATAACTACCATAAGAACGTTTAGAACAATAAAGTATATTGCAGTGTTTTCACTTAAAAAAACTGGAGTTAACCACCAATCAGCAAAGCCTGTATTGTCAGTTATAGAAGGCGAAAGAGTGGTAAAATCTAATGGTGTAGTAACATTTTCTGAAAGTCCAGTTTCTGTTGAGGATGTAAAATTTTGTGAAGATTTCCATTGCTGAATATTGACCCTATAAAACAGTCAGAATAAATATTTAAATAAATTAGTAATTCGGATATACTCGTCGGAATCAATAAAGGTCAAATTCAGAAATAGTAATATTCTTTTAAAAAGAGCTAGTGTCATTTGTTAGATTTATAGACACTTGTGTTGGGTAGCATTTATTCCAAAACCTGGCAAAACAACTCAGGTGTTGGCAAATTCTCTTATACCAGTGAGCATCATTTTTTCCTACTGAAGACATTAGAAAAATATATCGACAAATATGTAAGAGAGAAAATACTTGTTGAGAGACAGATACACCATATTCAATAGGCATAAATAGATATATTTAGAAAGGTGGCCTATTCCATTGCAACATTTTCAGAACTGTTGTAGTCCTCTAGTCCTAGATAACATTCTCTAGTTTAACCCTTTTTAAAAAGTCTAATAACCGCATATTTGCCATACTGTTACACTGACATAAAATGTGCTCTGCTGTTTCTGACAGAATCTGCACAGGTCATTATCTGATAATTCCATCAGCTTTAAGTGCTATTCAGCTTGCAGCGCCCTGTTAGAAGACCTACTGTTTTAACTGTTTTCCTGTTATTGCTTATTAGGTCTGCCATAAATTTTGGTAAATGTTCTGTAATAAACTGTTTCGCCTGTCTTTATCCTGGTGAATTCCTCCACCATTCCAGAGATTTATGAGCTACCAACTTCCTTGTAGCCGTTCTTGTTACTGCCTTTGCAACGCTGCAGAAGGGTTCCGGTCCAAGGAATGACATTGATAAGCCTTCTTTGGCCATTTTATCTGCTTTTCATTGCCCTTATGACCCTCGTGCCCAGGTACCTAGACTACTGTAACCTTGCTACGGTCTTCTAGTTTATTTAGGGCACACAATGTCAAACTATATCCAATAGGCATACAGATCAAAAGTATAAACAGAATTATTACTGTAACATCGAGTACAGAGAGTATAGTAGGTTCTGCAAAACAAGGAAGTGATGTTGGCAGCCTTTCTCTATGTGTAAGGACCGTTCAACAATACCCCAGTTAACGCAATTACAAAAGACGTTTCTCTAAACAAAATAAACAAGGTGAGCAGCAGGTGGATAGAGTTCATACAAGAGTCACATGATATAGTTAACACTGTCAGATAAGACCATATCAGAACAAGTTGCAAGTGGATGCCCGTAGGAGGAGTGTTATCAGCTTATAATCCGCTTATAAATGGGTTGATTGGAATACTTAACAAAAAGAGTCAATAAGTCTTGGGCTATGCTGATGACTTAGCATTTTTGTCAAAAAGTTAAAAATGGCGGAGAAATTGAGCAAAAACAGTTCTCCTTTAAACTCAAGATGGCGGCTAACACAATAGCGAAATTCAGTCACGATTTTGAATTTACATTACTATTTATTGGCCCTTCTAAAGGTAAAGATGCAATACAACACCTTCTACAATTAAATACTACAATATTATTTGGTATAGCTTGCCATGCTTGCCTTGCGCTTGCAATGCTATCGCGACTGGACTAATGTGTGAGATTAAAACAGACCATATTGCCCTAGATATAGTATCAAAATTCATTTCGGATGCTTCGGGAGCAGAAATGTACAGTGGTGATAAAAACAACCGCAGTTCAGAAAGAAAAAATTACAGAGTGAGTAAAAGAGAACAGATGCTTCCGACTTGACGTCTAAAAACAAATGAAGAAAAAAAAATGATGGTTATTTAGAGATAAAATATGTAATTATTATTTTATTAATTGGATAACGCATCATACAAAAACTGTATAATATTTTAATATTTCACTATCAGGGCAAGAGAGATTATTCTATAATAATTACATAAGTACTTACCAGAAAGTAACGAAATACTGGCATATACTCAACAAAGCTTGGCTAAGTATAAAGAGCACTAATAAACAAAAAGCCTTAAGGATATGTCCACCAGCTTGAGCATACTTTCGATAAACACGTCCAGAAATATTACCAGTGCTTTTACCTTCTCTTTGTAATACAGGCACTGCTTCTTCTTTAGTTTTTTCCTCTTTTGTCTGAACAACTTTAGACTTCCTTCTTATTTCTTCTTCTTCCTCTTCTATATTAGCCAATAGTTTACTATAATCTGTGTTAGAATCTCTTATATTATTATAGGACCCTGAGACAGCTACTTTTCCATTCTTTAATAAATATATATTCTGTATATTCTTTAAATATTGTAGTTGATGTGTGACCAAGACGACGCATTTGCTTCCAAGATATCCACAAATACATTCTTCAAATATATGTTTGCCAACATGTGTATCAACAGCGGATAGAGGATCATCTAGTAAGTAAATATCAGCATCTTTGTAAATAGCCCTAGCTAAGTTTATTCGAGCTCTTTGACCTCCACTTAAAGTAACACCTCGTTCACCTGCTAAGGTTCGATCACCGTGTGGAAATAGAGTGAAGTCTCTTTGTAGTGCACATACTCGTACTACTTCGTTGTATTTGAAGTCATCATATGTTTCTCCAAACAGAATATTTTGCCTTATACTACCTCCAAATAACCAAGGCTCTTGAGAAGCATACGAAACTTTTCCAGTTACATTAACAAACCCACTTTCTAACTCGAGCTCTTTCATAATTATGTGCAATAAGGTTGTCTTTCCGCTTCCTACAGATCCAACAACAGCTGCTAAATTACCAGGTGTTACATCCATGTCAATGTTCTCTAAATTATTCTCATATCGTGACTTCAACCATTTAGCAGATGCTTTTTTGATTTGAATGCTTCCTTTATTAGAACCAGTTAATTCCTGTAAATATTGTTTGCCGTTTTGTTTACCATTCAGTGAATTTTCAAGCATCTCAAACTTGAGTTCATCATAGTGCAAAAATTTCTGGATTCTCTTCATGGATATCCACATTTCGGACCCTTTAGAAACGGCCAAGGGTAAGAAGTAAGTAAGCGTGCCCAAGAGACGATAATAAGATGTAACCGTAAAGGCATAGGAAGCTGTCAGAGGATTTCCTGTTAAAACAAATGTGACCAAACATATCGCAACAGCTACATCGTTTAAAGTCATGGCCATGGACATTAGAATTGCACGGATAATGGATGTTTTCGTGATGAATTTGATTTCATTCCTAAAACAATAAATAATAATGTTAATAAATATATTATTAAAATTCTAAAAAAAAGAATATCGAAAACTACGATAAATGGCATCATTCTGATTAAAACCCTTAACGAGCTTAGCGTATTTCTTGTGGTGAGTGTGGCACTTGTGTGAGTGGTAAGTTCTATGTTTAACTTTGATTTATAATCACAAATAACATGCAACAAATGTAGTTAATCAGATTTAAGTCAATACAGTACATAAAATGTAAGTACATTTGTGACTTATTCCCAAAAGCTTATAAAAATTTATACGAATAATAGCTTTGCAACCAAATATAAACTTGATCTACCTACCCCCTCACATACTCCACTAACTTTGCAAATGGGTATTCCCAAGTGTACATTTTGATTACTTGAATTCCAGATATAATTTCATTCATAAGCCTAACCCTTTCATCGGTTCGAGTGGCAGTTTTCAGCCTAAACTGCGAAGTCTTCTTGCCTAGCCATGCTAAAAATAACTCTTGAGTAAGTAGAAGTATATATGCTGATAAGACAGGAACAATATAACATTTTTTTCTCCTATGTATTTCATAAAAATTCCATAATGTTTTAACTCAAATCTATTTGTAAAATAGTTTAGATTTAAATGAGAATAAACAAAATCGAGTGTTTGTATAAACATTCCAAATGCCTCTGACAAGTAACTCTAGCTTGGCTGATGCCTCTAATAAATAAGTTTTACGCACTGGTACGCACTAGAAGAAGAACTAAGACAGGAAGATTCTCTGAGTCCTCTATTGTTCAACCTGGTTATGGATGAAACCAAGTGTAGAGAATTACCAGACAAAGAGGAGAGACGAAAAGAAAATACACAAAATGAAGAAACGAAACCACTTAAAAAAGGAACTTCAATATATAGAAAACCTCAACCGAGAGAAAGAATTCAGAACATTCTATAAGAAAGTTGACATAAACAGAAAAGAATTCAAGGCAAACACAAATCAATGTAGAAGTTTGAATGGCGATCTATTAACAACAAGAACAGACGTACTAAATCGATGGACGGAATATTTTAACCAGATACTTAATATAGAGGAAGAAGAAGAAAACCTGGAAGACGAAAGCTGTGAGGTAAGCGGAGCAGACGAGAGGGAGGAGAATCCACCAACGATCCTGGAAGTTAAAGACGCTGTCAATAAACTAGCCAGAAACAAATCACCCGAAATAGATAATCTTCCAGCGGAATTATATAAAGAAGGTGGCCACGATATCATAATAGCACTACAGCAGCTTATAAAAGAAATATGGATACAGAAGTCCCTCGTCTAGGCATCACCATTATCTACCTACGGAAAGCTCGAAACTGAAGTGAAAGATCGAGTGAATAGAGCAAACAGAGCCGCAGGCAGTCTAAATAAAACAATATGGAGAAATAAAAATATCGGGAAAGAAACGAAAGGCAGAGAATTTACAAAACAGTCATCAAACCAATAATGACATACGCGGCAGAAACAAGACATGACATAGAGAGGATAAAAATGATATTAGAAACAGCAGAGACGAAAACACAAAAAATTGATGGTAAGACACTATGGGAGAGAACTCGAAGTACGGATATACAACGTAGATGAAAGGTGGAGAACATCAAAAGCAGTAGAAGAAAAAGATAAGCACTAAAGTAGAGAACTAGCTTTGCCTCGTGAGAGAACTTTTAAGTCTCTTTGAACTTGTACTTCAAGTCTCAACGAGAATTGACAGCTGCAACACCTGATAAAGGGAAAGCGACTGTCACACACTTTAGGGACTACCAGAAACACTTGATTCGAAATGCAATTTAAAGTTGTCATCAGATTACAGGTTTTTCTGTACCATTGAAGCTTTAGCATAAAATATTTGAAGAGATGTGAGATAATATCAAATATTACAGAAGTGAGGGTCAGACAATTGTGTATGATGATGAAACCTATGTGCATGCAAAATACATTACGCCTAATAGCTGGTCAGGTTATACCGATAAAGGATTGTCCACAAAAATTTCAGACGGAAGTAGGTTATCATGCCCGGTGGTGAGCAATTGAGTTTCATACTGAATGCCTTTTTGATTTCAAATTAAGTATTAAGTCGGGAGGTTACTATGATAACGTGGACGCAGAAAACTACAAAATAAAATATGGTCGGAAGGACAGTTACTTCCCAATTTTTTTGTAGGATCTGTTTAAGTTACTGAAAATGCTCAATACTATAATGGACAAATAAATAGAGCACCTACCAGTGATTCTAAAAAATCAGTTATATTATCAGGGTTGACAGAAAAAATAGAGAATGTTAAAATCGTAACTGTATTAAAACATCAAACGACACACACAAGATCATGTTCAATATAAATTTAACAAGTTACTACAAGAATGTAAACATATTTAAAATGAAAAAGACAGCAATTATTCGATTTTACGCAAACAGCGCCCATGTATCTGTTGATACGTATTTAGACCTAATATGTCTCATTAGAACAGTTATTCATAAGGGTTCTCAACGTGAAAGATCAATATTTTCTGTCTTTTAAGAAGCAACACTAAAATGGCTTCGATATGGACGCAATAGCGACATCTGATAATAAATCCGTAAAATAGTTTCGAAACACAATTCAGATTTCTTCTTTAATCTGTGCTTTCTAAAAATTGCAAAGTAAAACAGACGTTGATGAAGGTGTTAAAAGATACATAGGGAATCTAAAATTTGTATTTCACGACATGTCTTTTTAACTAAGCAGAAACCCTTAGTGAATTGTTTTCTTGTACTCGTACAGAGTAGATCCGAATAAAATGAAAAAGACAGCAAATATTTGATTTCACGCAAACAGCGCCTATGTATCTGTTGATACGTATTTCGACCTAATATGTCTCATTAGAACAGTTATTCATAGGTGTTCTCAACGTGAAAGATCAATATTTTTTGTCTTTTAAGAAGCAACACTAAAATGGCTTCGATATGGACGCAATAGCGACATCTGATAATAAATCCGTATAATAGTTTCGAAACACAATTCAGATTTCTGCTTAAATCTGTGCTTTCTAAAAATTGCAAAGCAAAACAGACGTTGATGAAGGTGTTAAAAGATACATTTTCTTCTTCTTAAAGTTCCATCTTCTATCGAAGGTTGGAAATCATCATGGCTATGCGGACTCTGTTGACTGCCGCTCTAAAAAGTTCTGCACTACTGCATTCAAACCATTCCCTTAAGTTCTTAAGCCAGGATATTCTTCGTCTTCCCACATTTCGCTTTCCTCGGATTTTGCCCTGCATAGTAAGTTGTAATAATGCGTATTTTTGCCCTCTCATCACATGTCCCAAGTACTCAAGTTTTCGTCTTTTAATAGTTAATATTATTTCCGCCTCATTTCCTATCCTTCTAGTTACTTTCATGTTTGACATTCTTTGAATCCATGATATTCGTAGGATTCTTCTGTAACACCAAAATTCAAAGGCGGCCAGCTTATTCAGATGAACTTGTTTTAGTGTCCAAGCTTTCAGACCATAAAGAAGAGTAGAGAACACGTAACATCGAAGCATTCTCAGGCGTAGTTCTAACCTTATATCCCGACAACAAAGAAACTTTTTAAGTTTAATAAATGATGTACGTGCTATTTCAATACGTGTCTTAATTTCTTTGGTTTGGTCTACATCTGATGCTATCCATGTTCCTAAATATTTATAGTTATTAACATTCTCAATTGCAGTATCTTCAATAGTCAATTGGATATTTGCATGTGCAGATTTAGTCATGATATGCATTTAGTTTTCTTTAAATTTATCTTCAGCCCGTACTTATGACAGCGTTCATTAAGGCGTTGCATTAGGTTCTGTAAATCATTGTTGTTATCCGTAGTTATTACTGTATCATCTGCAAAACGTAAGTTATTCAAAACTTCTCCATTGATAGATATACCTTCTATTGAGTCTGGGAGCGCTTCTTGAAATACCGCGTCACTGTAGACATTGAAAAGAAGTGGGGACAGCACGCAACCCTGGCGGACTCCTCTCTGTATTTTGATATTTTCGGTGTACTGGCTGTCAACTCTTACCTTGGCAGTTTGATTCTAATATAAATTAGATATAATTTTCAGATCACGACTGTGATCTGAAAATGATATCTGAAAAGATACATAGGGAATCTAAAATTTGTATTTCACGACATGTCTTTTCAACTAAGCAGAAATCCTTAGCGAATTGGTTTCTTGTACTTCGTTTCTTGTCTTGTACTTGGAGTAGTTGAGAACACCTATGAATAACTGTTCTGATGAGACCTATTAGGTCGAAATACACATCAACAGATACATAGGCGCTGTTAGCGTGAAATCGAATATTTGCTGTCTTTTTCATTTTATTCGGATCTGCTCTGTACAAGAAACCAATTCGCTAAGGATTTCTGCTTAGTTGGAAAGACATGTCATGGAATGCAAATTTTAGATTCCCCATGTCTCTTTTAACACCTTTATCAACCTCTGTTTTGCTTTGCAATTTTTAGAAAGCACAGATTATAGCAGAAATCTGAATTGTGTTTCGAAACTATTTTACGGGTAAACATATTTCTTTAAAACTATCACCATTTATTATTCAGACTTAAAATCCTATACAAATGATTTGGGTGCAAACAAAAAAATGGAATTGGAAAACAAAATGTTAATAATTTTATTTTGGAAGCCGTAAAACTATTCGGACAGAAATTTGACAAAGGACTCTGGATAACTTGAAGAAAGTGTATAAATATTGTCAAGGTCGAAAATAAGTACTTAGAAAATAAACGTCGCATAGATGTGATTACTTAAGTGTTAATCTGATTATGAAAATAAATAACATAATATAACATTATGAAATGTTTTCTTTATCTGTTATTTGTAAGTTATTTTAGTAATAATAATATAAATAATAGCCAAGTTAAAATAACCTTTATCAATGAGTAATTATTTATATTGTGCTACGTGTTTTTTTTTAATTTACAAAAATGTGGCCATATATTATTTTTTAATAGAAACTACAGACAAATAACAAGGCCCCTAAACATGGTGGAATAACCGCAGAGTTGTTTAAGTTGGGAAGAAGAAAAATAACGAAAATGATATATGAGGCCAAACGCAGAATATGGAGACCAGGGAAGATCTCAAAAGATTGAAATAAGAGTATCATGCCGAATCCATAAAAAGGGCGATAAGCTCCTTGGTTAAAACTATAACAGAATCGCCTTAATGTGTTCTTCTTCTTCTTCCTCTTTATAAGCAAGTCTACTTATTAATTAGCGGATAAATACCTCTATGGAAGATTGTCACTTCATCTTTGCGCGGTCGTTCGAAACTTCTTCTGCCGATTGGTGAGTTATCTCTTGCTATTTTGACCACACGGGTTTCCTCCATTCTACTTATGTGGGTATTCCATTCTTTTTTTTATATTGTGTCCATTCATTTATACACTGTACCGTTACATTTTCTTTTAATGTCTTCACTTCTCTTTCGATCTCTCAGCATATTTCCTGTAATTCGTCTCAGTACTGTCATCTCTGCCGTTTCCAGTAGCCTTTGCGATGCAGCTGTATGGTGTCTTGTTTCTGAGGCATATATCATTATTCTTCTTACCCTGGCTTTTTAAATTCTTGATTTCATCTCAGTGTTAATATGTCTGTTTCGCCATATAGTATTATTAAAGAATCCTGCAGGCCTATTTGCTTTTTGTACTTGATCTCTCACTTCTTTGTCCAAGTATTAATACCTAGACAGTGTAATTTTCGGGTATTTTATTTCAATTAAGTACTTGTTCAATACAAATAAATCGTGGAATAAGGCAAGGAGATACATTGTCGCCGAAATTATTCATAACGGCATTAGAATATGCCTTTAAGATGATCAATTGGGACCACAGAGGAGTAACGATAGACGGCGAAAAGCTTAACTATCTCCGTTTCGCAGATGACATTGTCCTTATCACAGATAATTTAGGAGAAGCTACAGATATGATAAACGAATTGGATTTTGCATGTTCGAAGGTAGGCCTGAGAATGAACTTGACCAAAACTAAGTTTATGACAAATTTGGTCCCCAATAACCTTTTGACTATTCAAGACAAAGTGGTAGAACTGGTGGAGAAATATACGTATTTGGGTCAAGAAATAAGAATCAGCAGGGATAACCAAATATGTGAGATCCAAAGACGAATTACTTTAACATGGGCAGCCTTTGGAAAACTGCGAGACACACTTAGGGCCAACATACCAATCAGCCTCAAAAGAAAAGTGTTTGACCAATGCGTATTACCGGTCATTACTTATGGGGCGGAAACTATGACTTTAACCAAGACCACGGCTTCGAAACTGAGAGTGGCACAGAGACGAATGAAACGGTCTATGCTGGGAGTGACGTTGAGGGACCGAATAAGAAACGAAGATCTGCGAAGAAGGACGAGTATTACTGATGTTGTGGAACGCATAGCGGAACTAAAATGGAACTGGGCAGGCCATGTAGCGAGAATGCACGATTCACGATGGACGAGCAAAATTACAAATTGGAGGCCAAGAGCAGACAAACGCAGTAGAGGAAGACCACCTACACGTTGGGCCGACGACATCAGGCGTATCACTAAAAATTGGCAACAAAGAGCACAAAATCGTAAGGAATGGAGGAGTTTAAGGGAGGCCTATGTCCAGCAGTGGACGTGATAAATAGATGCTGGATGATGATGATGATGATGATGATGATGATGAATACTAAATGATTCGTTTAAAAAATATATCACAATGACATTTAAGTTTGTTAAAACCCAAAAACCGAAACACAAAATTATAAACTAAAAACTCCAGGTGCTCTTGATCATGGACTCTAAAAGATAAATTTCTCTTTTAAAAGATATATTTTCGAATACCTACTTGAGTGATACTAAGATCTAAATTTAAGTTTCAAAAGTTTAAGTTTGTTTAATTTTGATCTGGAGTATTTTTGGATTTTTGATTTTTGATCTGAAGTATTTTTTTATATTGATACTTACACTGTAGCGGTATAGACATTAGCAAAAAGATTGTTCCAAGAAGTCCTGTCCATCCCACAATTACATACAAAAATACCATCACAATAAGTGCTTGTATAGGAGCAATATATAAGTCAGGAATATGAACTACAGCTAGGTCAAATCTACCTACATCATTAGATAGTAAATTGACCATCTGGCCTATCGTAGTCTCGGCTAAAGCAGATTTGCTGAGTCTTAAAGCTTTCCTGTATATTAGAGAACATGACGCTACTCTCATCTTCATACCAACTTGCATCATTGCAAAACAAAATCTATGTACAAGCACGACATTAACAAATGACGTCGCTACTATTAGGCCTGAGTACAAATAAACATCGGTGATATTTTCTTTGGGATCTTTTTCATAAATTACTAGTAGTTTCGATATTATAAACGGTTGAGCCATTCTAAAAAAAATAAGTAACTGTTTAGCGTCACAAAAAGTAAACTAAATACCAAAAAAAAAACGGTATTTAATTAAGAAAAAGAAATAAACAAATATAATAAATTGGTGCAAATTTAAAACTTCTTTATGTAACTATTAAATGAGTCCGCTAGATGCAAAACTCTGTATTTGCAAAAATTGTAAAAATTGAGTTTTAGCTGACAGTTATTTGTCACATGTTATAGCTATCTGCTGATGTAGAAATTCAGCAGCAAAGTAAGAGGTATTTACTAAGAAGAAGGCATTAGAAATCTTGAGTTAGACACAAAACTCTGTATTTGTCAGCCTATGCCAGTTGCATAACTGTGTAATTGCAATTGGCCAATCGCTTACATTGTTGAGTCAGTTATTCCATCATTCGCCATTACCGGTTTCACTATTTGTTATTTGAGTACTAAAAACACCAAGTTTATTGCAAATAATTAACATTATGGATCTTCATGTGCATATTACACCTTGTGAAAAAGGAAAAGGGAGAAAACGAGTTGTTCAAACAGAAAAATGGAAACGAAATGTAATGAAACTTAAGAGGTAAGAGGTGTCTACAATTAACTGGATAGGTTTGGGACTTATTGTCAATATTTTTAGGCATAAACCTAAGGATTTACCCAGTTTTCCCACCTGTAACCATACAAAGAAAGTGTATTGTTGTATAGATTTAAAGATGCGAGACATTCAGCATTTCCATAATAATCTGTATTCAACAACTGACAAAATAAAACAAGATATTTTTTTGCTAAAATTTTGTGAAGGTCAAAAGCCCAAGAGATCAGGTACAAACCTACATGGAATTTCAATAAATACTTTGTTCCTACAGTAGAGGGTGGACTTTTAAGAGTATGCAAGACAGCATTACTTGGAATAACTCATTTAAGTTCTGAAAGAATAGAGCGTGTTGTAAGAACGTTTGTTATTCGGGGTGAAATACCAAAAGAGAGAAGAGGAGGAGAGACAACAAAAGGTAGATTTGATCCAATAAAATTATCTATCCAAACATTTATAGGGCGTTTGAACGGTGCAGAGAGTCATTATAATAGAGGACGATCGACTAGATTGTATTTACCATGTGATCTGAATTTTACAAAGCTTTACAGAATGTATTGTCAACGTCATCCACATCATTCCGTAAAGTTATCATATTTCTGAACATACGTTAATGAACACTACAACATATCATTCGGCACTCCCTTAGTAAATGCTTGTTCTGCGTGTCTCAGAGCGAAGGAAATTTTGAGAAAAGAAAATTTAGAAGAAGAAAAGTTAAGTTTATAACAGAGCAGAGAGTTCATACGTTAAGAGCTAAAGCCTTTTATTCTTTGTTAAAAAATGAATCAAATCATAACATACAAATATTTTCTTTTGATTGTCAAAATATCTTTCTTTGCCAAAGCTTCCCGACCAGGCGGCTTATTTCTCACAGCAAATAAATTTTTATAATTTCACAATCGTGGCTGGAAATTCGAAATTCCATCTTTCTTCTGCAAATGTGACGTCATATGTGTGGCTGTAGTTTGAACATTCAAAAGATTCAAATGCTGTTGCCTCTGCTGTACATGATACTCTCATAAAATTCAACTTTAAAAATCAAATCGAAAAAGTTCACCTATTTGCAGATGGATGTGGTGGACAGAACAAAAATAGCACGATGATGTCTATGATAATCTACTGGTTGGTTTATGAAGCACCTGGTCACATCAAGGAAGTGGAGCTTACGTTTCCTGTTGTTGGTCATTCCTTTTTGCCACCAGATAGGATTTTCGGTGTGATAGAAAGGAAGATAAAAAGAAGAACGTTGTAATAAACAGAAAAGAATATAAAGACATAATTGGAAAACACTCAAAGGTGCTGAGACTTGGTAAAGGCTGGCAGATATCAGAATGGAGAAAGACGAGTGACGTTGTTGTTAAAAAACCTTCCCAGAGGCATTTTAAATGTAATGCAACGAAACGATTTATATTTTCTAAGGATAAAGATTATATGGCTACGGTAAGGGGGGAAATATTTTATCGTTCTGACATAGGGTTCAGCAAGTCTATAATACGAAAAGGGAAAAAGATTTCTTTATTGAAACCAAAGTTACAACAGATTGGATGTTCATTGAAAGGAGATAAATCGTCCATAGGCACTCTCCTTAGAAACCATTTTGGTGAAAATTGGAGAGACCAGCCGGATCTCAAATTTTATAAAATTATAGATACTGGCGTACAAGCAAATAATAACGAGAGTGCTGCAGAAAATGATCATATTGATGATGAGGACCCAGAGGAACTTAGAGTTTAGGAATTAATATAAATATATACATATTATAATTTGTAATACCTTTTGTACTTTGGATAAAAATAAACTTCACTAAAAGTTTACTTCCACATGCTTTCTTCCTTATTCCTAACACATTAGGTTTAGAAAACAGACTAATATAACAACCACTAATATCGTTAATGGTTGACTATTATCATGTATTTGCAAATGTTAGTTGCATAAATCTGTATTTACATAGTTCACTTGCAAAACTCGGTATTTTCAAATTTTTCTTCCTTTTCTAGCAAACCCAATAACTTTTCTAAAAAAAATTATTATATTTTACCTAATAAAGCATTTATCTACCACAAAAAAGTGCCATTTATTATGTCTAAGGTTTTTTGCAAAATTTATCAGTTTTTTGCAAATAACTCAGTTTGACTTATACAGTATATACAAAGTTTTGCATCTAGCGAACTCAAATGAAAGGTTAAGTAGTTAATTTAAAAATATCAGCAATGAAAATGTACCAAGATTAAAGAGTTAATAGCAGATCAGACTCGGTAATGTTAGTAAACTTCCAATGCTGACTTAATAACAGGTTGGAGCCGTGGGAGGCACGTTAAACAGTCGGTCTCTTTGGCTACGTAAGAGGTCCTTAAGTCATGTTAGGGGTGACGTGGACTCTATTTTGTATATTTTTTTCACATATAATTGAAGATTTTGTATATGCCACTCGTTGCCTTGTCAGTTCTGCTTTATCCACTTCGTGATTAGCTTTATTCTCGTCTTTGTTCTTAAGTAATCCTAGTTACTTTCTGCTCACCTCACGCTAATGATATTACTAGAATGGCTACTAATTTGAGCTGCATGTTATTTTATGAATGCTTTACTTTAAAACTGTGTAGTGTTTACTACCATATTGACCTTCTTCTTTTTAATGTACCTATCCGTTACAAAACGGCAATCTTTATCTTATCTGCAGCAGCGCGGAAAAGCTGCACAGATGTTGTATTGAACCAGATTCTGAGATTCTTTAACTAATATGTTCTTCTTCCCTCTCAATTCTTGTTCATTCTTCTGAGGACCTCCTCATTTGTGACTCGGTCAGTCCACGGGATCTTAAGCATTCTCCGATATAGCCACATCTCGACTGCTTCCAGTTTTTTACACCTATCTTCGTTCAAGGTCCACGATTCAACACCATAAAAAGGAAAGAGAAGACGTAGCATCGTAGCGTTCTTACTTTTGTATCAAGAGAGGTTGTGACACTTGAAGAAGGCTCCCATCTGATTGAAGGTGGATCTAGCTTTTGCAATGCGTGTTCTAATCTCCTGGTTTTTGGTCCATTCTTCATTTATTATGATACCGAGGTAGTTGTAGTGCGTCACCCATTTAGTAGAATATTTTTTTTTTCAGTTTCGTGCAAAGCTTCGAAACATATTCTTTAGGAGTACAGACTGAAGATTAGAGGAGACACAATTCAGCCTTGCCTCACTCCACGCATGATTTTCACATAGTCAGTGTGTTTATCTTCAACTCTGAGATTTGCTGTCTGATTCCAGTAAAGATTTCTAATCATTTTCAGATCTTGGTTGTTAATTTCTGCTTCTTTTAGTATTTGCATCATCTTGGCGTGCTGTACTCGATCAAACGCTTTCTCGTAATCAACCAGACATGCGTATACTTCGCAGTTGGCGTCTTTACATCTCTGGAATAGGACTTGTACTGAGAACAAAGCCTCTCTAATACCAACAGCATTTGTGAACCTGAACTGGTGGGAGGAAATTTGACTTTCGCAGAGCTTGTAGATTCTCTTATGAACTATCTTTAGGAACAATTTTAGGAGATGACTCCAAGTGCAATAAACTTAGATTTCAGCCATTCTGTTCGTATTTCTCCAGAGTTGTATATGTTGTTGAGTATCTTTGCGATTATGGCTATTGATTCGTTGTCCATTAGTTTGAGTAGTTCTGCTTGTATATTATCAGGGCCTGCCACTTTGCCATCCCTTAACTGCGTTATTGCGGAATAAACTTCCTGCTATAATATTTTTCCAAGACATTCCAAGACAGCAGCAGAGAAGAACCGACTTAGAGAAAGTTATAGAGAAGCGAATAAAGCTTTCAAGAAGGCAGCAAAGAAAGACAAAAGAAAGTGGGCAGAAAATCTTGCCGAAGAAGCGCGAGTCGCCGATGAACATCAAAACATGAGACAATTATATAATATCACTAAACAACTAGCCAATAAAAGATATACTACTCACCAACCAATTGTAAAAAGTGCTACAGGTGAAGATGTTACAGCGCCACAGGAACAAGTCAAAAGATGGCATGAGTATTTTAGCGAATCTCTAAGTGCAGTCCTAACACCACCAGAAGACGCAGAAAACCAACAACGCAAGAAATAGAAATGGCCATAGAAAAACTGAAAGCGCACAAACCAGTCGGCCCTGACAATATTCCACCAGAGTTGTTAAAAGCTTGCCCAGGTACAGTGGCAAAGCTAATCCAACCACTCTTGAAAAGGGCTTGGAGAGAGGAAAAGTTCCCCAAAGAATGGAAAACGGGATTAATAATAAAGATACTAAAAAAGGGTGACAGAAGATATTCCGAAAACTGGAGAGGAATCACACTTCTGAATACTATAAATAAATTAACAGCAATAATTATAAACAACCGACTAACAAACAGTGTAGAACCAATGTTGAGGAAGGAACAAGCCGGTTTCAGACAGATCATGCGTGGACCAAATTAACACACTAAGAATAATTGTAGAACAGTCACAGGAATTCAACTCTCCTCTCTTTGTGTGCTTTGTGGATTTCAAGAGAGCTTTTGACACGCTCACACATACGGCCATATGGAAAGCACTGCAGGAAATAGGAATACCAGAACAAATAGTAAATCTCATCAAAGAACTCTACAGTGACACAGAAAGCAAAATCCTACACAACGGTATAACATCTGACCCAATAGCTATGCTAAACGGAGTAAAGCAGGGCTGTATTTTATCCCCCATACTATTTAACATTGTACTGGACTCTGTACTAACAAAGGTAAACTCTAATAGAGGAATTTACTGGGGATTAACAAACAGACTGGAAGACCTAGATTACGCTGATGATATATGCCTCCTAGCACATACAAAACAGGACATGCAACTCCAAGTAAACAAAGTACAAGAAGAATCAAAGAAGGTTGGTCTAGAAATAAACATCAACAAAACCAAAGAAATGCGATTTGGTACCAGAAATAACCAACCTATTATGATCAACAAACAGAAAATTGAGAGAGTAGCAAAATTTGTATATCTGAGCAGCATAATTGACTGTAATGGGGGTACAGAGCGTGATGTTCATGAAAGAATAAATAAGGCTCGCAACGCCTATAACACGCTTAACAACATATGGAAATCCAGGATTTACCCAACTAAAACGAAATTAAAAATCTTCAACACAAATGTAAAAGCTGTATTACTATATGGCTGCGAAACGTGAAGATATCAGCACCCATAGTCCACCAATTACAAGTTTTCATCAATAGAGCGTTACGAAAAATCCTTCGTATATTTTGGCCTAACCGAATCTCCAATGAAAATTTATGGAATCAAAGCAACCAAGAAAATGTCATAAAGCAAATAGGGCGAAGAAAATGGAGATGGCTGGGCCACACACTCCGTAGACCGCCAAATGACATTGCCAGGACAGCGCTGGATTGGAATCTCCAAGGCCGACGGAAAGTAGGCAGACCTAAGGGAACTTGGAGAAGGACAGTACTGGACGAAGGTAGAAAAATGGGAAAATCCTATCTTGAAATCAAAGCACTAGCCAGAAATAGAGTTCGCTGGAAACACTTTGTGGAAACCCTATGTTCCTCTTAGGAAAATCTTGGGTCTATATATATATATATATATATATATATATATATATATATATATATATATATATATATATATATATATTCTTCTTCTAGCTTAAAGGTGTTATCTCTTTGGTCTTCAAATATTTTTTCAAGATATTCTTTCCACGTTCTTATTTTACTTTGTTTGTCCAATATGATGTTTCCGTCAGAATCAGTTATATTTTTTTTCTGATTTCCTCTTAGTCCTCCTGTGAGTTCTTTAACTTTCCTATGTACATTGTAACTATCGTACTTTGACTGCAAAGTCTCAATTTTTTTGCATATTTTTCTTGCTTCTCTTTTTTTGCTTCTCTGATTTTTGTTCTTATGCAAATTAATACCGAAAAAAAAAAACATATTGATAGCTACAGCAAATTCTACTAATCGTGAACCATTATCGTCAGTGAGGTCGTGTAAACTATGAGTGCAAATCACTGATTTTATATGCTTTTTCTTGTCCAGTTTGGCACTGAAATCGACCAATACGATTTTGACGTATCTTACGTACTCTATGACGTTCTATAAGTTCCAAAAATGTAATTTAAAAGTACAAAAACCTATAATAAATACATAATTTCAATTCGTTTTGTAAGAACTTCACTTACCTTACTGCTTCTATTGTTATAGCAAGAATGTTCAGAACAAATATTTCCCAAATAAACGTTCCCATTAATACTTTCCAATATGCAGGATTCTTATTCTTGGCTATATGTTTTATCCATCGATCTTCTAGCTTTTGTCCCAGCTTGCTAGAATCGTGTACACTTCGATGTCTATACATATCATCTTCGGTTAATTCTCGTTTGTAACCTTTGACAAAATAAGGAAGTAGCCAACTGTAATACAATAAATAATTTTAAAGTAAATACTTAAAAAAAGTATTAGTGTTAAATAAATACGATCGCCTATAAAAAAAAGTAAATAATAACCTTCTTTTTCGTCAGTGCCTTATCTGGTCCGGATGTTATAGATCATCTAGGCTATCACAGTTTTGTTGAGTGCTTTAAAAAACAGCTCTGCGGATGTCATCCCACACCATTGTCGGAGGTTTTTTAACCACGAGATATGACAGCATCCCGGTCCTTCTCTGCCAAATACTTTACCCTACATAATAAGTTGAAGAAATCGATATTTTTCTTCGTTTCGCATCACGTGGCCGAGGTACTTAAGCTTACGTTGTTTTGCTAAATTAAGCACTTCTTTTTCTTTTGTCATGCGCTGTAAGACCTCAACGTTGGTGACATGGTCCACATACGATATTTTTAGTATTCTCATGTATATCTACATCTAGAAGGCTTCAATCCGCATTTTAATAGCTTGCGTCAGTGTTCAGGCTGTACCATATAGTAACACTGGAAGAATGTTGCACCTCACTATCCGCATCTTGGTTCCCAAACTGAGATTACTGTAGTACAGCAAGGATCTCAACTTAATAAATGTAGACTAGACGGTTTAGTAAGGCTTGTAGATCATTTAGGTTGGTTTTGCTAGTAACACAGTGTCCCGTCTCTAGATTTGTGAGGGCTTCAGTAAAAATTTCCTCACAGTATATATTGAAAAGAGTCGGGGAGAGAACACAGCCTTGCCTTACTCCGCATGATCTTCACTTGGTCGGTCAGCTGGTCTTCGACCTTGACTTGAGCACGCTGGTTCCAGTATAAATTCATGATTATCCAAATGTCCTTCTTATCTAATCCTACTCTTTGTAGAGCGGCGACCATCTTCTGGTGCTGACAACGGTCAAAAGCCTTGGCGTAGTCAATAAAACAAATATATACCTCACAATTGACATGGCAGCATCTCGCGGAAGTAGGACTTGTAAGGTGAATAAGTAAGTTGGCAATCATAATGGCTATTTTTATTTTAGAACTTGCTCTAAACAAATGAATCGATCTGAATTGACACCAATCACGTATATTCTTTAACCATGAGTTCTGCCTTCGGCCAACAGATCTTCTTCCTTGAATCTTTCCCTGTATTATGAGTCTCAAAATTTCATATTTTGGTCTCCTCATCACGTGGCCTAGGTATTCCAGTTTTCTGGTTTGTATAGTGGTAATTAGTTCTGTTTCGTTACCAACCCTCTCCAGTACTTCTTTATTTGTAATTCTATCAGTCCATGATATTTTCAATACTGTGCGGTATAACCAGAGTATAAAGACCTCGATTCTTTTAAATTACATTTTTTGAATGTCTCAGCTCCATATAATAATATTGAAAATATATAACAGCGAATAGTAGGTAGTCTGATCTCCAAATTGGGATTTTTGCACTTTAGGAGTGGCTCTATTCGTATAAATGCTGATCTGGCAATCTCTATTTGCCTGTTTATTTCTACAGTATGATCATTGGTTTCATTGATCAAAGTTCCCAAGTACTGATATTTTTCTACTTGTTCTATCACGTTACCATTGACTGTCAATAGGTGATACATATTTTGTGGTTTGTTTGTAATTAGCATGTACTTCGTTTTTTTAGCGCTTATAGTAATTCCCATCTCAGCACTATTCATACTCTAGCTTTTGATAAGATGTTGTATATCCTCTATACTTGTTGTTATGATCACAGTGTCGTCTGCATATCTTAAGTTGTTAATTAATTTTACGTTAACAGTGACTCCCGCTTCGATATTATTGAGCGTGTTTTGGAAAATTTCTTCAGAATACATATAAGTTAAACAAAAGTGGTGATAAAACACAACCCTGTCTAACTCCTCTACAGATCCTCATTTCTTCTGAGTGTTGCTTATCAATTTGAAGTATGGCAGTTTGGTTCCAATATAATGTTTGCACTAAGTATTGATAACTATGTATTGTTCATAAGTATTGATATTAGTTTTTCATGTCTTACTTTATCGAAAGCTTTTTCGTAGTCAACGAAGCACAAGTGTAGATCAACATTTACATTCCGACATCGCTGAATTAATATGTTGATGGTAAATAGTCCTTCTCGAGTACCCACTCCATTTTGGAACCCAAACTGCGTGTCGCTAATATCCTCATCTAGCCTTTCGTATATTCTTTTATGTATTATTTTTAGCAGAACTTTTAAAGTATGACTCATGAGGCTTAGTGTTTGATACTCAAAGCACGCTTTTGCTGTTTTTTAGGGATGGTTATTGTTTGGGAAAGTATGTGCGAATTCATTTCATAATTTTACAGTTAATATTTTTTCTGTTACGGTACTGTAATGTGATCTAATTTGGTGCTGTATTTTAAAAGACCTTTTTGAAATATATTGTTTCCTGTTGTCTCATAAAACTTAAACTGGATATCTCATTTATGATGTGAATACGGAAAATTTGGCTTTTTCCATTGTATTCAAGATAAAGATTCCTAATACAAAGATCGAAACATCGACAAAATACAAAGATCGAAACAAGCGGTTGATTTATGGCATGCCCGGCCTACGAGATATTGACCATCCAACCAGAGGGTGGTTTGTGCCCGAAACGCTCTCAAACCCTCAAGATTGGCACTTCTTCATACGACAACGATCGACACGGACCTAGTTTCGGACGGTTCTCGTGTTGAGCCTCGGCGGCAACACTAGCGTCGGTATCACGACCAACTCCTCATTTCTGTTAAGACGGCATCAATATTTTCAAAGGGTAAGTCTGTTCTTTGTACAAAACAACAATAATGAGTAAACCAGTTGATTTTATAACTTATTCACAATTTATAGTTGCTATTTTCGCTAATTTTATGTACAAACAAATATTGCATTTTTCGTTATAATTATTTATCTGATATAATTTAACCAGCGATCTCTCAAGTTTTATCCTAAACAGTTATAAATGCTGACTTCAGCCAGTCTTGTGGTATTATTCCCGTATCGTACACCGTGTTGAATAAATCTGCCGATACTTCCAAGTTATCTTTTTCCACTAGTTTTAACATTTCTACTGGTATTTCATCTAATCCAGCTGCCTTATTGTCTTTGGAGTGTTTGATACCATATTTGATATGATCTATCTTGATCTTCTGTCTCTGTAAAGGATTTAATTCTTGTATTTTCTGAATTTCACCTCTTAATCTTGGAAAAGTTGTCTGACGTACTCCTCCCATCGCCTTAACTTCTCTGGTAAATCTATTAGTAGTACTCCTTTTTTGTCTTTTATGTGTCCTTGCTACTAGTCAACAGCATATCAGAATTTCAATCTCTTATAGATCGTATTTTTGAGCATAGACAAGATGCAGTTACTATTTAAATAAGTCCAAAAATAATTTAAATTTAATATGTAGTAAAAAAAAACGTCCTCTTCAGGAAACGAGAAAAATTGATTCAAGATGCCTAGTCTCTGCAGTTCTCAAATATACTTGTTAAATAAGAGAGTGGCACAAAAGAACAAATACGAATAGTCCTCGTCAGCCAATAATGTAAAATAAGATTCCCTCCTGGAACTTTGTACTTGATAATTGAGTTGGTATTTTTTATACGTCCTTTCGGGGCCTGGATGTTTGTCTTAACAAAATAAAGATTGAGTCGTTAGCAATGCAGTTAGGTATATACAGAAACGCTTTATATCTCTTGGATAAAACGCAAACGTAATTTACGTAAGTATATTTTGGGAGAAATGGAAAAATAGGGATTTTTACTTTTAATGATCAAGTAAAGCAAGCTCATTATATTAAAATAAACGAGAGTTTTAAGACTTACCGCAATATCATTAAAGAAAAAGTTAAAGTAAACAGATCAGATTGCCGAATGCAAAATTAATGGCTACAGGAATATCACTTTTAATTTATTAAAGTGGACCAAATTTCCACGAATAATTTATTGCTAAACATAGTTTTTTTTTAACTTTTACTTACCAGAATAATAAATTCGAGATAAAATTGGACCTATCTTTTGGATTAAGCTTTTTCTCTGCAGCCTCACCATTTTTAACTTCCTCCATGTTATAGGTTTAGCTGCAACTAAAGATACAGATTACATAAATGCGTTCTTAGGTAACTATTTATTTCAATATAAGGTTGAATGTTCGAATAAATGAACTTTGATGGTACACAAAGCAAATATCGAACACAGTAGTTAATCAAATCTTGCCCAAGTACTTTCGATCACAAGATCATCCTCAGGGGCATTTCGTCAGTTGTGGCCTATCCAGCAGTAATAGAATGTTATAAATGTAAATTGGGACATAACAAATACACTAAACAAAGACAAACAAACACTTTAAAATTTAAGAAATGGAGAAGCTACATTTTATGTAGAAGCCGGAGAAGAATAATTCTTCATAAGTCTGGCAACGGCTAATTGTCTCAATAAATTGTTTAATACTTTAACTATTTTTAACCACATTAAAACGTAACGATTGATAGATTATAACATCTTTTAACATAATGGTTACTTTATTAAATGTTTAAAATGTGCTCAATTTGTAAGTTTACAGTATCCTACTCGATGGTAAAATGCATCTACCACATTTTTCCATGATTGCCTAAAAATTATTCGAGATTCATCGAAATTCGTTGCCTTGGCTCTGCAAGACTTGCTGGTTTAGTTTTGTAAACTGAAATTTTCAAGTATCACCAATAAGAATAATCTTTAGGATTGAAATCAAGTGAACGTGGAGACCATTCAATTTTACCTGGTCTACCGATCCACCGTCCGGGAAATATCTCTTCTAAATAACGCTGAGCATTTACACCAAAATAAACTGGAGCTCCATCTTTCTAAAACCATTTCTGATTAAAATTGGCCCCAAACAAGTCTATTAGTGTAGGTACAATTTCATTTCTAAGTAACATTTCGTAACTATCTGACGTTAAATTTCCCTCGATAAAAAATGGCTCAATTAACTGAGTACCTACTATACCTGACCATTAGGGTGCATCGAAACAGGCGAAAAAAATTTTTTTTTTTGCAATGGAAAAGTAATAGCTCACAAAAGTTGCCCAATCAACTGGTAAGTAATTTGGTAAAATCTGGTCGAAATTGAAAAATATCTTCTGCCCCCCCCCCCAAGACAATTAAAAATTTTGAAAAAATATTAACAGACAAAATAATTTTTATTTTGAGACGAAAATGGAATACCTCACAAAAGTTGCCTAAATAACATACTATTTAATATTTTAGTAAAATTGCGTTGAACTAAAAATATATTTTCTGTCCCCCCTCGGCACTCAAAATTAGAAAAAATACATTAACAGGCGCATTTTTCTTTGTAACGGAAAGGTAATATCTTATAAAATTTAAATTTATAAATTCGGTTTAAAATGTGTTCTGGTTCTACAAATCAATTAAAAATTTAAGTTAAGAAAAATATTCTCCAACATTTTTTTATAACAAAATAGCCCAACTTGTCCTTCTGTCTCTGTGATGTCACCAAAGTTTTTTTTATTACTGAAATAAAAATAAAAAAACTATAAATTTGAAGTGGTGTATTATAAAAGTATTACAAAAATATGGTAAAACAATTCTATTTAAAGATGTATTCTGATTTATTGTTAAAGTGAGGCATAGTTTTTCTGGAATCAACTCGCGTTTTTATAAATCCATCCCTCGAGTCCGCTCCACAAACTGCTTGAAAAGCTTCTGTCACAAGCTTGATACATCGTTCTACACATTGTGTGTGGCAGTGATACTTCTCAATATTAAAAGGGTTCAAGTCCGGATTCTTAATAAAATCTCGCAGATCGTCATTCGAAACTCTAGAGAAGATAGGTGGTTCCGTAAGGTTACACTCTTGCCAATTAATTAACTCAAAGTAGTCGTTTGCATCAAAATTTATAGGAGAAATTTTAAAGACTCTCACGTTTTTTGATTTTGTCGCTGGAAACCTTCTTGCTTTTAAGATGCGGCGTAATCCAAGTTCCCGAATATGGAGTCGTTCATCCGATATCATGCTTAAAAGTATATTTTCACAATGACCGAAATATGCAGCTCGTTGACTTACAACGTCGACTACAGCCCTTAATTCGCTATTTAAGTACCGAGATAATTGAATGGTTTTAAAAAGATGTTTTGCACCATATTTACATATCGGTTGGGATTTTATGCTGAACCACATTGGAGCGTATACCTTCATAATATATTCTGTGAGTGAAATTAAGTTCATCGGTGGCACGATACTCGATACATAGAGCCGAAGAATGCGATAGGCAGTTGTTACCCACCTTGAATGTGCCAGGGGTCCGGGTTTTCGATCTGTAACACTGATAGTACACTGGCCACTGGATACTACGTGGTACATTTCATACAAATACTTTTGATCTGTACTATTACTACTATTACTGTACTATTAATTAAAGGTAAATTACCTTTAATTGGTTTGAACGCAACCATTGGCAGTTGGTCGCATTGTAATAACTGCTTACCAATAGAACCTGAAAATCCTTTAGGTCCAGAAGTACCTCCATCAAGATGGTGAAAAAGATGTCGAAGGGGTAGTTCATTTGCGTGTAGCAGACATACAAACCACTGAAGCGGTTTTTGAAGATGTTCTTCTAACAGTCGTATTACACTTCCCTTAACGCCAGTATTTACGACTGTGCCGTCACAACCAATAGCTTCAATTTCTTGTAATGCGATTAAATTTTCTATTAGGAATTGAATAATGGAAGATTTGATATTTTCGGATGTACCGGACAGCGGAGAAACATGTCCCAAATAGCTGCATCCTGGCTCCTGCACAAGTGTAATGTGTTCTTCCATGATCGTTTGACGATAAACCTTTGCACCTTTTTTTACTTGAGCTAAAGTTTTGTCTTTGCGTCCATCAAAGTAAAGCCCACGTACGTTAATCATCGAATGTTCTTGTAGACTCTGAATATTGGAACGACATTTAACTTTATTTGAACGACAAGTCTCTTCTAACTTTATTTTTGTCGATAACGTTAGTAGAGTCCGCTGCAGATCTATGAGATATGCCGTGTCTGTCACATGTTTTTGCAAAATTTTTCAACTGAATTCTCATTTGATTTTTGTTGACACCTTTAGAGGTTGAAGGTACAGAAACATCATCTTGGAACGTAACATCATCATTATCATTAATACAATTATTTGATTCTGAACTTTAAGAAGAATCGCATTCAGGTATTGGATTAATATCATTCTCAATAACTACGGTATCTTTCGTCTTTTGTCGTTGTTCTCTGAATATATTTTCTTGTTCTCTCTCTATCAACTGTGCTTATCATCATTTTTCTCGGACCTCTTTGATCTAATAAAAACTCTCGTTCACCGAGAGGCACTTTTTGAGACTTGCTACAAAGGCAATTCAGTAGAGTATTACATTTGCATGCTGCAAGATCCAAAATAGTTTTACTTTTTTCCTAAACGCATAGAATTTTATTTTGGTAAAACTTACTGTTTTTTCTGCTCTTAAATGGCTTCATAAGCTTGATGTATTTGTCGTGGTAGGATTTTAAAAGCTGAATTATTCTTGTACTTGAAACTATTAGAATTGTAGCCTTTCTTCATATTTCCTCCAATTTCATGGCAACCTCCTCGGCAATAACGGAAAACGCTGGCTTTTTCTTGGTAAGTTTTTTGTTCAGCCTCTTCCAAGTACAAAATTTCATCACTTGTTCAAACGTCGGTAACACATTTTCAGGAATATTTGATGGTTGTCCAAAAAGCACATCTTGTTTTTATTCCCGACGTTCCTGGCTTATCCATTTAAAAAAATCTTTAGTCTATAAACATCAATAACAGCAAAGTAATGCACCGCACCAAACAAGCGAAAATTACACTCACGGACTGTGTGACACAGATGCTAGACACTTACTGTAGTACATATTATGAATTTTCGAATAGCAGATATTAGTAGAAATAGACGTTTTGCGGTCATTTTCAATGGGGTTGAGGACACTTAATAAACAAATGAAATTTTAAATAACGTTTAAATGTGTAATTTACAACATTTTAAGTTTTATTTAATTGATATTAGATCGAGTAAGCACATATTTTAATCTAAATATAATAAATTCAAATTTCCATAAAAAGCAGATATTTAATAAAGTTTAAGGTCGTTGGGGGGGCAGAAAATTAATTTAGAAAAAAAAAAAAAATAAAAATACTAATATGCTAAAAAATAACACTAGCAACTTTTTCATACTATTAGATACAACATTTCCAACTTTTATTTTTTCGATGCACCCTACTGACCATACATTTAATTTTTGTTGTCTTTGAGTATGGTTTTCACGCATTCAGTGTGGATTTACGTCACTCCAGTACCTTAAATTGTATCGATTTACACTGACACACAGTGTAAAGATTGCTTTATCGGAAAAACATATTCTGTTAACGAAATTTTCATCATTTTCAATTTTATCCATCATTACTTCAGTAAACTCTAATCTACGATCAAAGTCATTTTCACTTAATTCTTGCAATAAGTTATTTTATATGGTTTAAATTTATTCTTACTTAATATACGTAAGACTGAAGAACGACTTACATCATGTACTTGTGCAATCCTGGGTGAGAATGTACGTGGATCTTCAACAAAACTTTGCATTATATCTAAAGTTGTGTTGCCATTCATAACCCTTTTCGGTCTACCTGATCGGTATTTATCTAGTAAATTCGTAATTCGTAAATTGTAAATAGCTTGTCATAATTTTACAAAATTTGGTGTAAATGTTCGGCGTTATTTAGAAGAGATATTTCCCGAACGTTGGATTGGTAGACGACGTAGAAATAAATGGTCTTTACGTTCACCTGATTTCATTCCTAAAGATTATTTTTATTGGGATACTTGAAAAATTTAGTTTACAAAAATAAACCAGCAAGTCTTGCAGATTTAAGGCAACGAAATATCGATAAATCTCAAATAATTTCTAGACAATTATGGAAAAATGTGGTAGACGCATTCTACCATCGATTAGGGTACTGTCAACTCACAAATGAAGCACATTTTGAACACTTGATAAAGTAACCATTATGTTAAAAAATGTTGTAATCTATC